TTTTTCTTAATATTAAAATGTAGTGTTAACTCTCCGTGGCTTAATTTGTTCGAGTTATTACGAAAACTGCAATGTACCTACACCAACATTAATACTTCCAACATTGTTTGCATAACCGTAGTTGCAAAAAAAAAATAACTCATCGTATTATTAACGACAGCAACACTGCTCTGTCACGCTTAAAGGTAGTGTTTTATATTATTTCTTTAATCACACTGATGTGATATTTCTTAAAGCAGTTTTGATAACGGTCGAACCACGTTGCAGGTGTGCTACGACTGTAGCATGAAGGGTTTTTTTGTTTAAAATTCTCAGTGTATTAGTAGTTTATAAATCTGTTTTGCTAGAAACTAAAGTATCGCCTAAACATCGCAAATGTTTTGAATAAAACCTGTGGTCATGGGGGACTGAGGTGATTGATGTACCGATGTCAGAGTTAACCCAAGAACATTCATTCCTGCCAAGGATGACACGTGAGGCTACGTGAATTCTGACACCGGGGCGTCAATCACCTCAGTCCCCCGGTGACCACGGGTGCTTGAAAACACCCGAAACGTCGGGAATTAATAAAAATAAGTTAATTACGTAATACGTATTACTATAATTTAACAGTGTGACACACATAGAATACTATCTACGTAAAGTCGGTAGAAAGTCGTAGAGAATTTAGAGTACCTAAATTTATTTAATAGAGAATGTTATTGTTCGCTGATAAAAAGTGACAATACGGAGCAGAAAATGGTTTAAGCACCGTATATATATTTCAGAGTATATTAAATAAAATAATCAACTCGATAGGTTTTAATGTACAAGGCACGAAAAATTTCTACATTACACGCGCCTAAATAAACAACTTGTGACAGAAATATACCGTTGCATTATCCATTTACATTTAATATACATTTATTATGAAATGAGAATCAAATCCTACACACACGTATCTTGTAAAATACACGAAGTTTACTCACAAAAAAATTCACTCTTTGAATGTAATTTTTATTTTTCATTCAAAAGCATTATATTTTTTTTTTTCAAGAACACGTCATAAATTTATTGCTACATATACCTATTTACAACAATTCTATTAAGAACACAATTACTTCGCATTTGGTTTATTGCTTACATAAAAAGTAAAATATGCATTCCGTGACTACCAAGACTTACATTTTAAACTTTATTTCACACTGACAATCAATATAATTTACGTCAAACAAAAAACGGGGTTTTGGCGGGAACTTGACCGGCGGCGGTTTGCTGCTCCTGTATTATTGTTTAAATAATGGTTTGAAGTGGACTTTGATATGTAAAAGTGTTGCGATTTTGTGTATTAATTGTCTACGCATGTGAACTATTAGTGGAAACAGTGAAACAAGTGCTCTGATGGTGATGGATTCTCAAGATAAGCTGTTTGTTTGCATAGGCACCTTTAGATACCATCGCCAACTGTCAGCTGTCTGCTGGATCAAGTTGCCGCCAAAATCTCCCAAGAACTGCACAATGTGACGCATCAACATATTGTGAAGCAGTATACTATGAAGGAGTGGGGAAATTACAATAAACCGAATAAAAATACTTAAGACTTGGCCTAAAGGTCTAGATACCAGGCCATAAACTCCAAAAAAAAAATCAAACAAAAAACTAAGACAGAGTGCAATATTTTATTTCACAGATAAAATAAAATTAATGAAATGTAGCTTAAATCTTCTTTCCAATATTTACTATTCGTGAGCAGATCTTTGTACAATTTTAAATTTAAGTCTAAGTCTTATTATTGAATAGTGAAGAAGTTTTACATTTAATATATTTTTATCAAAATGCTTATTACATCAATAATGTTTCTTACTTTTCGCAGCCTTTTAAAGTCTTTATGCCTTTTGTCATATATTACGTACCTTCAAAGTATTATTTAATTAGATAAATCATATATTATAATAGGCCATTTTTAAATCAATCTCTCATCAGTTTTTAAATAATTTTCCCTATTTTTCGAGTTAGCGGCACGTAAATGTCAAAAGACTTTAAAAACTGTCACTTTTTTTTTACAGATAAAACACGTTTCAAAGATTATAATAAGTTTTTATCGAAGTTACATTACCTAGAAATAGACTACGCTATGATCTGTACGTGCTTCTTTTTCTGGTGCTCTCTCGGCTCTTTCAGGACGTATGACGTGGTTCGTCGCAGGGAACCCGCAGAGTCTGAAAACCACAAAATATATAATTTCAATGGTTATATTTTCCACCAAAAACATAGATAAATATGAAAAGGGGCCCAAGTGAGGTACAAACGATGAGTTCGCGACTTTTTCGATATAATAGTTGAGATCTGAATGGGCACCAAGCGCCATAGTTACTTAAATCAAAGGATCTATAGAAATATACAACGTTTCTTGAACTACTCCTAGCGACTTGACTACTATCTCACTTGTGATAAGTGATGATGCAGCCGAAGATGTAAGTACCCTATCTAGCATTAATAAAAGCTTATTCAGTCTTTTTTTTATATAGGATAGGGTGACTAACGAGCACACAGCCCACCTGATTGTAAGTGGTTGCTGTGACCCATAGCCATTTACACTATCCTCAAAAAAGAATCAAACTGCAGATGCGTTGTCACCCGTGAGGAGTAAGATGGAATACCTCTTTTCCAGTAAAAAGGGGTCTGCGGTTCGCTACACTCACCATACGAAACGAGGGCGTGGCCCTTACCCGGCCGAGCCCACACATTCGTGCTTCAACTATACTTCTAATATAGCTGCAGCATGGCTCTACCACGTTATAAAAACGTCTTGCCTTGAAAAAAACCGACATTATAATCGGACGGAAAGACAGATGCATCTCGATTGTTAGCAGCCAACTACCGTGCGATTTACGCGGAATTTTATGCCTATGACTACCCTGTCAACAGCGGTTCATCCCGATCGATTTTACTTAGAGACCCTCAAGTAAAAAGCCTACTCCTTTCTAAAAGGCAATTCCCCTGGTGTTGCAGATGTTCATAAACGACGGTGATCACTTATAATCACGTAAACCGTACGTTTATTTGTCACCTCTTCCATAAAAAAAAAACATGTGTGCAGTTCACACGCGGTAGAAGTGAAACATTCAAATTATAAGAAAAAAATTAAAAATATATCACGGCAAATGAGTTATTTAATAGTAGCTGTCCCTCGCGACTTCGCCCGCGTGGAATTTACTACGATTTCATGGGTTTTCATTTTTTTGGCGCGGATCTCTAACTTTTTCTTAAATAAAAGTATCCATAGTTACCCCTTATAACATTATATATTTGCCAGTGAAAGTCCTGTCAAAATCAGTTTAGTCCTTTCGGATATTAGCCGGAACAAACAAACAGACAGACGAAAATTTAAAAAAATGTTTTTTTTTTGTTATTTTTTTTTTTATAGAATAGGGTGACAAACGAGCACACAGTCCACCTGATGGTAAGTGGTTTCTGTGGCCCATAGACATCTGCATTTATCCTCGATTACGAATCAAAATGCTGTTGCGTTGTCAGCCGTGAGAACTAAGATAGAATGCCTCGTTTCCAGTAAAAAGGGTCTCCGTTTTTCTACACTCACCATACGAAACACAGCAGCATTAAGCTGCTATTTTACGCTGGTATTCTGTGAGAGCGTGGTTCTTCCCCGGTCGAGCCAACCCATTCGTGTCAAAACTTTTTTTTTCTTCTTTTTTAAAAAACGTTGCCCCCACACTAGGATTTTTTCCTGTGTCGTGGAGGCAGTTTACAAACATAAATTGCACAAGGACAAACATCGAGACCCGGAACAATCATTTGTAGGCCATACAAATACTTGTTCCGTGCGGGATTCCTATATCAGAAATATAGCTGCAGCATGGCTCCACCACGTATATAACTACCGTATATACTTTTATATGCATTTAGTAAGTTGTAAAGTTAAAGTAAAGCTGTTATTTTAACATTACAAACAGACACTTCATTTTTATTTGTATGTATAGAGTATCAGATGATAATTATCAACCACAAGTGCGGCATAAAATATAAGATATAAGTTTAACCTTATAGCAAATAAATGTTACAATACTTGTTTTTAGACAAGAGCCTAAATTTCAGTGTAATAAATCAAAAGAATATTTTCTCTCGACTAAAATTGCTTTGTAAAAGCGCGATCTACTTCATTTTATCGTACAAAAATTGCTTGATTCTCAAGATTCGACTAATTTAATATCTTTTTCATTCTCTTACAGGCTGAATTCTCGATGCATACATTTGTCTCTTTTCTACCTACTTCAAAAAAAGAGAAAGTACTCAATATTTTTTTTAAACTTTACCCCCACACTAGGATTTTCTCCTGTGTCGTGGAGGCAATTTACAAACATAAATTGCACAAGGAGAAACATCCAGACCCGGAACAATTATTAGTAGGCCATACAAATACTCGTTCCGTGCGCGATTCGAATCCGCGGCCCCCAACGCAACAACTGATTGCTAAGCCACTGCGCCACGGAGCCGTCAAATTCGGCTATAGGTTTTTTTATGTGTGTGACCTAAAAACTTTTTTCTGGGTGAACCTATTTCGATAATTCTTTTAGTTATTTGAAAGCTGGTGCTTCTCATGTGGTCCCATTTAATTGATCAAGGTATAACCTAGTTTTTGAGTTGATCCTTAATAATGTAAATTGAAGTCGATTTTACAATTTTTTTAATTTTAAATTATACATATTCAAAACATATGTTTCATCATATTTCCAACTTAATTACGTTTTAATGACTACCATAAGTTAATAGTAATTCAAGATGGAATTATAAATTATTAGCGTCTCTTTTACGAGTTTCTAATCACAACGATCCCAAAGAAATTTTCACTTTAAAAACTATGTTCACTAATGTTCGTACTCACTGTAGTGCGTGCACGCACGCAGCGGGCGGCGCGGGACGTGCGAGGGGGTGGTGGGTGAGGCGGAGGGGGAGGCGGCGGGCGAGGCGGGCGCGGACGCCGGCCCGCGCCGCGCCCCGCGCTACGACCAGCGCAACTCCTTCAGCTCCAACGTGCTCGCGTCCGCCATCTGCACACGTCCCGTTACCGTTACCGTTGAAACCTAGGCCTGCCTACAGATTCCCTCATCGGGGAATATTTGACATTTCCACACTTGGCGACCGTAGTTTTTATTTTTATTTTTAGTGGTAGAAAAACACTGCTACCCATCTCCTGATTTGTTTCACTCTGTCGCCTCTTACGAGACCCACAGGATGATATGGAGTAATGAATATTCCTACACCGCCTCTACACGGTAATTTTTAACGAATAAATTAAATCAAATTGAACGACTCGACGACAGATCTTATGCACGCCGACACTAAAAAAAATAGTATATCTGACAAGTGAAGTTCACAAACAAGCACTGAAGCAGCGTATCAGATGCTCTCTACTACAGAATTCTTTCAGAAGTGATGGAAAATTGTAGATTGTAACTTTTCCTTACATATTTCTACTAGTTGAGGATGACAAATGAGTATATAATCCACCTGATAGAAAGTGGACCACAACCCATATTAAAATAAAATGTAGATGTATTTCCACCCCCCCCCCCCCTATGTTACCAATAAAAAAGGATACCTAACTATAACCAAATAAAAATTTTGAACACAGATCTCTCAAGCTAGTTGATGCTTTTCTAGCATCTGAAAGGACACAATCGCATTATACATCCCAAATGGCATTATATTTAGATTACCGGTTAAAATTGCTATATTAAGACATAAATATTATCTAAAAATTGTGACCACGCTAGAGTTATTTTTTATCTGACCTGAAAGCAAAAATTTACCTCGTATCGTGAAGGCGCTGGTGGTACGTGAGTGGCTGGTGAACACCTGGAGCATCCAGGTCTTAGCACAGTTCTCGATGAACCCCCTCTTATAGCTGTTCTTAGCTCCTAAAATAAACAACAGTGTTATTTTGAGAATAATACACATATTAAAATATAAATAATAAAAGAAATGATTATTAATTATTATAATATCATAAATAAGAAATCGGTTACGAGCATTCCATATCAAATTAGTGCCCGAGTCCTCGAAACCCTATATCCCTTAAACAGAACTGTTTTTCACTGTTTTGCTCAGTAATCTAAAACATAATATTTAATATTTGTTTGTTCGTATTTTAGGCGATGCTATACCGTTCATCAGATTGCGCTAAAACTTTGTCAACTTATTGCTTACACTTGCGCGAAGGTTATAGGCATGGTACAATTAACTTACAGTAGGTGGTGCGAGTGTTGTACGGATAAATTTATTAGAAAGTTCAATGAAAGAAAGACTCTTCCAAAAACTCTTCCAAATTTAAAATTATATTTCGACAATTGTTTTTTCTGATGCAGCAACACGCCAAGTACTAGCCAGTTTGAAATAATTTTCTGACGTGACATTGGCAGAATTGAAAACCATAGAATAAAGAAGTAGAAGAAACGCATTTTATTACTATGTTTAATCTATCTTTCACATCGATCACTAGTAACAACTAGATACACAATCTGTGACAAAAAATGGCCACACCGAACGAGCGCCCACTCGAACATTTAGGTGCGCTTTTAATATAGTAACTTTCGAATGTTCCGACGGTAAACATGCCTCAGTGCTCGTTTAAAAAGTGTAATAATCACACATCCAGGACACTAAAACAGGATGGAATTTCACATTTTCGGTAAGTATTAATATTAACATTATTTAATAGTTACTGTATAGTAAATACTGATATTTTGTCAATAAAAAAAATAAGTAGTAATTTTTCGAATTATATGCGTTGATTCTGTTCTAATTGTGGAGACGCTATTGTTTTATTTATTTTTTTATTATTAAAGTATGATTTTTTTTGTTTAATGAGACTTCTTTACTGTTGCTCTAAATATTATAGTAACATTTTATAGATTTAATTTTGTATATGTATGTACATGTAATAAAATTAAAGATGTGAGATTTTATTTTGTTTTTTTTTTTTAGTTTTCCTCCAGACCCAGTGAGGCGTGGAGAATGGAAATTAGTAATATCACGTCAAAGATCCGAAGAATTCTTCAAGCCGACCCAAGGAAGCGTTGCATGTTAGAAGCATTTTTTAGAAAGTGATGTTTTTGATTAATGATATTTATTTCAAATAGAATTATAGTATTTAGAGAACTTTTGCATGGGATTGTGCATCTAGTTTTTTATTAGTGATAGATGATCTTTCATCATCTATTAAGCATCTGCGTGAAAGTCTCTCAAAGGAAAACCTAGAAACATCTGTTACACCTAATGACAACCAACCAAGGTGATTTCATACATATTTCAACCTTATATAAATTTTACTATCTTTAATATTTATCAAAGACAAAGCTTGTCAGATAGCATGATAATATTACATAATAAAAAAAAAACCTTAAATAAATACAAGTAGTTACCATTGATTTTAAATTGAATCCTTACCTGACCCATCTCGCTACATAACGACTGTCGACCGTGCGATGCATTTTTCCTTGTATTCCAGCAAAATTCCAAAATGGCCACAACTATTGCAAGCGCCAGCCCACACAACAATGTTACAAACACTCCACCTGAAAATATATTTTAATTTTCTTTCGCCATACTACGAGATTGACAGATTTTAATGGTTGATATATTTTTCACCATCATTTTATTCTACGCTTCTATCAAGAATTTTTTGTAATCATCACAAATTAAGAATATGTAGACGGTTTAGCTAGCAATACCAGATCTTGTTTCTTTGTCGTCAGTCTGGGTACTTTGTACCTAAATTAAAGGCGCTAAATCGCCGCCAAAGCACAGATCTTATATATATATATATATAACTCGCATTGATATTTCCAAAGAGTTTTATTTATCCATCCATTACAGTTTATAATTATAAAAACAATGTCCTCCAGATCGTACTTCAATCACCGCGGCCTTACAGTAACTACAGACAAACAGGAGTACAGTGCTCGAGTGTATATGCAAGCACAGGTGCACATAGTCCGATTGAACGGTAATCCGTCATGACCGGAGAGAGATCAGGCGCGATTCCGACAGATTTCCGAGGCACGGGACTGCAACACCGTCAACTTCCTGTGTTAAGGTATGGTAGTTCACCTTTTCGATACTTGAGGGCGCTGTACAAAAGCAACCGAAACGTCGGGAATATAAAATAAGTTAATTAAACGCGATAAAATCCGTAAAAATAGTTTTATTCAACGTGTAGTGTTCGCGTAAATATAAGAAACCACAAGAATATAATTTATTTTGTATATATCTACGTGTTAATATACCATAAGTACATACGTTGTGAAGTGTTTTATTAAATTACCCCATCGTAAGCCATTTCAGCAAGTAGTGCAGTGCTAGTTCAAACATCCTGATTCCGGAGTTCTACTGAGAATTTCTTGAAACGGGTTTTGAACTCGAGACTTCATGATTAGGAGTCGTGGTCAGCCACTAGACTATCGAGGCAGTCGCGGTATTCGCGTAAATATAAGAAACCACAAGAATATAATTTATTTTGTATATATCTACGTGTTAATATACCATAAGTACATACGTTGTGAAGTGTTTTATTAAATTACCCCATCGTAAGCCATTTCGGCAAGTAGTGCAGTGCTAGTTCAAACATCCTGATTCCGGAGTTCTACTGAGAATTTCTTGAAACGTGTTTTGAACTCGAGACTTCATGATTAGGAGTCGTGGTCAGCCACTAGACTATCGAGGCAGTCAAACTAACGAGGTTACAAGAGTCTAGTGCTAAATATAGGCCTCACTCATAGATTGCCTTGTAGTGGGGAATTTAGCCACAGTTCCCACTCTTGGTAGGAGGGCAATCGTAGTATTTTGGGTTGTTATCCGAACGATGCCCATCTCTTGCTTCAGTTCTTTTTGTTGCCTCTTACGACATCCACAGGATAATGTGACGTAGTGTTACGACCAGTGGAGTAGCGTGCCTTAGAGGGGCCCTGTATCGAAACTTGTCGGGGGGCCCAAATGAAGGGTAAAGATTTTTTTTATAGGATCGGGTGACAAACGGGCACACACTCCACCTGATGGTAAGTGGTTACTGTGACCCATAGGCATCTACATCTATCCTCAATAAAGACTCAAGATGCAGATGCGTTGTCATCCGTGAGGACTAAGATGGAATGCCTCTTTGCCAGTAAAAAGGGTCTCCGGTTCTCTACACTCACCATACGGTTTTCTGTGAGAGCGTGGTCCTTCCCCGTTCGAGCCGACCCATTCGTGCTACAACCATAATATAGCTGCAGCATGGCTCTACCAGGTTCACAAAAGGGACAAAAATTCGCATTGTATTAAAATAATTATAAGTTATTACTTACAATTTATACTCCTAGGAACTAAGCTAGCCAAACAAATCAAACCAACATCCTGTCCCATACAAGTCCTTAGAATTTTTGCTTACATACGTTCGGGGCCTCTGTAGCCCGGGGGCACCGTATCATTGATACGGCTGATACGGCGGTAGCTACGTCCCTGGTTACGACGTCACGACACCACGAAAGAATTTATTTATTTTGAAATATCTATGAATGATAATCATTATCACAAATGGATATTGGTATATATCTGTTTAAGATTAATAGACTTCGACATCGTTTGATCAATAACCATGAAAAGTTGTCACATTTCTCCTGTGTAAGTTTTAATGCTTTCCACGTTGTTGTAAATCACCACTAGATGGCGCTGTCCCACATTCACTTTACAGTTCAACCGATCAACACGAAAGTTGGTAAATACACACAGGACAACATCCGCCGAATTTTGCGAGTAAAAATATAAAATATAAGCAACAAACCAAACAAAATGAAACGAAAGCAATACTTAACAATTCGAACGCATTTTAAGTGGGAACAAACTAGCGTCTTCACAAAATGGTTCCAAAATGAATTATTTCCAGTACCTACCATAAAATACCTAGCGACAGTGCCATTGTATACAAGTACGAAATAAATGGATAGACTTTCTAATCGATCACTACGTATCTCAATAAAAATCGGCTTTTTTTATATTGTTTATTTCGTCTCACTAGCTTTACCTTACGCACAATGCTTAATAAGTTTAGACTATAGCTAGGGTTGCCAAACGTTCTTCCTTTTAAAAGGAAATTCTTTATTTCAAACCTAAAAGTTGGTCTTGTCCCCTAATTTGAAACATTTAAAAGAGGACAAGGTAATATCGCGCGCATTGTCATTCCTTCTATTAGTTGAGGACAATATGTTTAAAAATCACTTTTAACGTGACGCGCGATGTTAGAGACACAAACTACGTTACATTGGTTATAAACATAATTTTTAGCAATAAATGTTGCTTTTCTTATAGTATGGGGGTTGCAAACGAGCATAAAGTCCACCTGATGGTAAGTGGATACTGTGGCCCATAGACATTTACATTTATAATCAAAATGCAAATGCATTGTCACCTCTGAGTATTACGATGAAATGCCTTGTTGCCAGTAAAAAGGGTATTCGTTCTCTGCACTAAGCATACGAAACAAAGCAGTATTAAGCTGCTATTTTACGCTGGTATTCTGTGAGAGCGTGGTCCTTTCCCGATCGAGCCATCGCATTCGTGCTGCAACCATAATTTATGCAGCATGGCTCTACCACCTAAATACTGTAACAACATTTTATTGAACAATATATCTTTTATTTTTATCCTACGTCCTATTAGTAATCTTATCAAATCCTCTAAAACATAAAACGGGAGCTGGCAACCCTAATTACGCCTACTACATCAAACCTTAGCTCAAATCAAACACTACAGCTAACCAAGAAACTACTTGTGTAACTAACCAATATTTTGCACACCAAGCGGGTTTGCCTTGCTGTCCTTCCCGTCCCTGTTGCACACGTCTCCAGTGTTCTTCCACCATTTGTCGTACAGGATCTGGATCACACCCTTCTCTTGGAGGTCTAGGATCGCTAGGGATATTTTGTCTCTCCACGGACTGCCCTTCCATGTCGCTATTCCGTAGCCCTGTAAGGAAAGGAAATTTCTAAAGCTATTTAATTTTTTTTATTTTTAATTAAAAAGAAGCTACCCCCACACTAGGATTTTCTCCTGTGTCGTGGAGGCAGTTTACAAACATATATTGCACGAGGACATACATCCAGACCCGGAACAATTATTTGTAGGCCATACAAATGCGCTGGCAGCGCAACAACTCGTTGCTAAGCCACTGCGCCACGGAGCCGTCGTTATGTGAAACTATACGGGGTTATTTTTCAAAGAGTATCCAAATTACTCGTCTGTGAGTTTCACAGCGTGCTTGCCAACCAAGCGACCCTTTCGAATGTGTACGTGCGTAGTATAATAGTGGGCGTTAGATATTTATGAATGACGATCAGTTAAAATAATGCATTACCATACATTCCGAGTGAAAAAGATAAAAAGAACAGAATGTTTGATTTTTTTAATTAATTTTTTTCACCATTCGCCTTTAGTACTTATTCTGAACCTTATCTGCAAATTTGGGCGTATATTGCAAAATAACCGCTGTTTAGTTAATGTAAAACTTTTTTTTATATAGGAGAGGGCTAACGAGCATGTGGTTCACCTGATGGTAAGTGACGTCCATGAACAACTGCAACACCAGGGGAATTGCAGATGCGTTGCCGGCCTTTTAAAAAGGAGTAGGCTCTTTTCTTCAAGGTCCCTAAGTCGTATCGGTCTGGAAAAATCGCTGGTGGCAATCGATTCCACAAGGAAGTTGTGCGAGGAAGAAAACATCTTCTAAATCGCACAGCGGTGGACCGCCAATCATCCAGGTGGTATGGATGGTATCGCAACTAATCGTAACTACCGTTTTATATCAATATCAATAACCTTGTTCATGACTGCTAAAGAATTACATAGCGAAATATATGTAATAGTGCACAAATGTATACTCCTTATTTTTTAAGTCTGATCCTGGGATTATTAGTCATAGTAAATAGTAACTTTAGCGTGAAATATGACCTTGCTCCCATGAAATCAAAGTCGGAAAGCATAAGGTCGGTTTGACTGAACTGAGGAGAACCGGATACACGAACGATAACGAGGCCTATCACCTTAGTCATAAGGCTACAATCAAAAGACAAAAGAGCACAAAATCTGCTTGATGTTAAGTGGATGCTGTGGTCCATAGACATTTAAATCTTCTATCCTCAAATAAGAATTACTATACAGATGCGTTGTCATCCCTGTGAACCAAGACGTAATGCCTTGTCTACAGTAAAAAGGTTCTCCTGTTCTCATCGTCATCACTCACCATACGAAACACAGCAGCATTAAGCTGCTATTCTACGCAGATATATTTTGGTGTCTATAGGGAAAAACATCCACTAACAGGTATACTGTGTAGTGTTTTGGTCCTTTTTTTATAAAAAATCTGAACTGAAAAAAAAACTGACCTTAGAGTCCAAAAGGCCACCGATCTGCGTAAGGTTGCAATCCCTTTGCACACGATGATCCAGCATCGTTGACTCCATAAGAAAAGCGTAGTTACCCGCCAGCACCCTCCTAACGCCTTCCTCGTATGAGGACACGAGGGCAGGTGGGGAAGCTGTGGACATGTGCTGCCACATCTTCTGGTAGATGTCTATATTGGAATCCTGGGGAAGTTAAAATCATGCTTCATTCATTCATTCATTAAACGTGGACTGCCTCATTGGTCTAGTGGTTGTAGTAGTTCGACTGCTGATCATAAAGTCCCGACTTCAAAATACGGGTCGAGCCTAAAAAAACCGTTATCGAGTTTTTCCGTCAAATAATTCTCAATAGCTACCCGGAATCAGGAAGTTGGCGGTGTCTCACCCCCGTGCCTCGGAAAGCACGTAAATCCATTCGTCCTGCGCCTGATCTCTTTTCGGTGGTGACGGATTGCCGTACCAAAGGACTATGAGAGTGAGGCAATAGAGAGTGCACCTGTGCTTGCGCACACACTCGTGCACTATAATCCTGTCCTGTGCAGATGGTTAGACTCCGTTGATGCTGGCCGCTGTGACCAAAATTCGTTCTTGAGGACAAAAGTGGTAGAGCCATGCTGCAGCTATATTATGGTTGTAGCACGAAAGGGTTGGCTCGAGCGGGAAAGGACCACGCTCTTACAGAATATCAGCGTAAAATAGCAGCTTAATGCTGACATATTTCGTATGGTGAGTGTAGAGAAACAGAGACCCTTTTTACTGGAAACGAGGCATTCCATCTTAGTCCTCACGCGTGACAACGCATCTGCATTTTGATTCTTTATCTAAAACAAATGTAGATGTCAACGATAGCATCTTTTTAACATCAGGTGGACTGTGTGCTCGTTTGTCGCCCCTATACTATAAAAATGAAATAAATTACTGCCTACCAAAGTCCACTGAAAGACCTAGGTCTCCTCATAGAATGCCTCATAAGTGAGTTAGCTATAGTTGCTAGGCTTAGCAGGCGACTTTTTTTTAGTTGTTATTAGGAAGACGCCGTTGTCCATTTCCTGGTTAGTTTCCCTCTGTCGCATTGTATAAGCCCACAAGAAGATATGAGGTAGTTGATATTCTTACAACTTCCTTACAACAAAAAATAAAAAAAACTGCAACTCAGCTGCCAAGCGTGGCAACTATGGCAAATATATGAGGCAATCTATGGCGTTCCCCCACTAGATGGAGTGACGACCTGGTAAGATATGCAGGAAGTCGATGGATGCAGGTGGCTCAGGACCGTGCTTTGTGGCATTCCTTGGGGGAGGCCTATGTTCAGCAGTGGACTTATGAAGGACTGTAATGATGATGATGATGGGGGAGGCCTTTGTTCGGCAGGTTTACTTTAATAGGCTGTAATGGATGGATGTATAGAAGATAATCTACCAGGAGCACATGACCCACTGAGAGGTGAAATTTTCAAATCAACAGTAACATTCCAACTAGGGCAAATCCCTATGAGGCAATCTATGGGGGAGGCCTGTGTTCAGCAGTGGACTTCATAGGTAGTAATGGACGGATGTACAGAAGATAATCTACCAGGAGCACATGACTTTCGGAGACGTGAAATTTTCAAATCAACAGTAACATTATAACTATAAATCACTGAACACGTATTGCTCATAAAGCTCGTTGTTTCTTAAAACTTTACTAACTTTTGTATATACGAGTATATAGGCCTTATGAAAGGCTGTAATGATGATGATAATTAATCCAAATGTACTTGCTACAAATACTCAATCTTCATTGCTCTTCACGTATTCTCATCCAGTTTTCTCACTCACACACGCACACACAAATACACAAATAGGTCACAAATAATACCTACCTACTACTGTTAGGCAAAAGTGAATATGCTTTTGTTAAGTCAGTGCGTTTCACCATCTTAGGCTACATAACCACTTACCATCAGGTGGGAGTCTAACTAAGCGCTGGCTAAGAATAGTAAAAAGAAAAGAAATTTACCATGTGAAAGTTCGCATTTAGATATTATTGCAATAATTGTTTTTAAGATGAGGGCCAAGTGTCTAAGAAATAAAACTTAGAAAATCTAATTGAAATCTATGCAGTAGTTTTTTTCGTGATGCGCGCACAACTGCAAACCTCCATCATTTTATTTATATAGATTATTATCGATTCACAAAAACTACTTACCCTAAAAAACGTCATAGTAGATCCTCCATTGAGTGTTCCGTATTGCACGTGATTTTGCGCGGCTAGGTCCGCAGCGCTTTGAATGGGCAGCACAGTTCTTTCCACGGTGAGGAACGCTGCCAAGTTGGCCGTGTAAGAAGAGAGGATGATCAGCGTGAAGAACCACCAGATTCCTCCCACTATGCGCGTGGAGGTCGCCTGAGAAATAAGTATGAAACTGCGGTTTAAGAGGGGCGTAATTGATTACCTATAGACAGTAGACAGTTCTTTATACCTAAATTTACAATGTGAAAAACAGTCGATAAGAATAATCAATGATCTGAAAATAGAAGCCCGGCAAGAAAACGTTTGACGAACGACTAAATAATGACAGTGGTTTCACTTTCTATATTATACTAGTTGACCAGGCAGACGTTGTTCTGCACTTTGCGACGACCATTTGGTTTCCTAAAAAAAACTCCTGAAGTTAGCTATAAAAAAGAGGCTCCCTTATCGGGATCTCTCAAGTTGGACCAAACTGCACACAGTGTGTAATATTTCATTGAAATCAGTTCAGTAGTTTAGGAGTTCATCGCGAACATACGCGGATTCGCTTATATATATATATATATATATATATATATATATATATATATATATATATATATATATATAAAAGCGAATCTCTTAGAAAAACTAAAATAATACTCATTATATTATTCATTATATACATTTATATATACCTACGGCATAAATAAAGTTCCTTTCCTTTTTCATTATTTTATTTAATTATTTTGATAATATCTTTCTCGAACATAGAAATACAGCGACTCTTCGCGGGCGAGTCCAACCTCAATGGGCATTGCTGAAAACCAACGATACCGCCATCCAGCGATAGCAATATGTTGACTCAATGCCTTTGCAGCATCACTTCATTCATGCAATCGGATCATTTTATGTCAGCTTTTTTATCTTTAATGGTTTTGCGTATCATTTTATTTTCTGTATCAAAACTTTCTTCCCCGTGTAGTGTCGTAAGAGGTAACAGAGGGAAGCTGCGGCGGCCCCGCTATTCCTGGTTACGGTGGTGACCATGGTAACGGTGGGGCAGGGGGTGCTAAGAATTTCCGATGGAGGTCCTGTTACCACCTAGGACGACCCGACCTGGCAACTTATAACGCACGCACCCTGAGGATTGACGAGAAGATCCTGGACCTAGAAGAAGAGATAAAAAAGTTGCACTATAGCACTATCCGAGGTTCAAAGAGATCCCCGACTTCACGGAGAAAGAAGGACTCTTTATAATGAACTCTTTCTTCCAGAAAGGGAAACAGAAACCACCAGAAACCCCACAGAAAGTAAACCTGGTCGAGCCCCGACGGTTGGACAAAAAATGATATTGACTTCATTATGACGATCAGACGGCAACTGTTCACTGATGTCTAGGTGATCGAGAGGGTGGTTAGAGGCACACTGAACCTAAACGTTAAGTTGGAGAGGTGTCGTCCAATGATGTCAACGCTCTGTCCCCCTGGTGCTCTAATCCAGAGTCCCGAAAACTTTCAGCTCGAGTTACAAAACCGTTTTCAGTGCCTAGAAGATTGCAATGCAGTGTACAATATGAATGACAAGCTCGTGGAAACTGTCCATGCGGTCGGAGCTAAGTTTTGCAAGACCCGCCGCAGAAGAACACAAAAACTCTCCGATCACACTCTTAATACCAAACAACTTTAATACTGCCTGTATTAAAGAAGCGATTGAGTGGAACAAGGGCTTCAAAGTCTTTTGCCAAAGATCTGTCTGCCAGAAAGAGCCAACTGTCAAAACTGAAGACCGATTCTGGCAGCATCGTTTCCAGAACACCTGAGATTTTGAGTGAGATTGAGAGGTTCTATAGGCAGCTCAACACGTCATCGTTGAAGTAACACGAAAGTGTGAGTAACAATCTAACAGCAAGACTTATCCGACACTGTTCCGATGAGATCCCGGACGTCAGTCTGAGCGAGATTAGAATGGCTCTCCAGCACCTTGAAAACGGCAAGTCCCAGGGTGAGGATGAAATTAAAGCGGGTGGAAAACCGGTATTTGAAGTCCATCAGAAGTTCTTTATTTCCGTCCTCTATGGTGGCACTACTCCGGAGGTGTGGAGCAGAAGTACGGTGGGTTTGTTCTTCAAGAAAGGCGGCAACGCTCACTCGAAGAACTACAGATGGATTTCCCTTCTGAGCCGCGTCTAAGCGCTGTTTTCGAGAGTCATTACGAAATGTCCCGCATGCAGACTGTCGACTTCCAGCCTCCCGAAAAATCCAATTCCCGAAAAGGCTTTAGCATCATAGACCACATACATACCCTTCAGCAAATTGTACAGAAGACAGAAGAGCACAATCTGCCAATTTGTCTTGCGTATGTGAGCTATGAGAAAGTCTTTGGTTCCGTCGAAATTCGGGCAGTGCTGCAGTCCCTTCAGCGGTGCCAAGTGGACTGTCGGTATATTGAAGTGCTGAAGTGTTTGTACAGTAGGGCTACGATGGCTATCTGAATACAGAACCAGAGTACCAAACCTATCCAACTGCAGAGAGGTGTAAGACAGTGTGACGTAATATCCACGAAACTCTTCACCGCTGCATCGGAAGAAGTTTTCAAGCTACTGGACTGGAAAGAATAAGGTGATTACGTCAATGGTGAGTACATCACTCACCTTCGATTTGCCGACGATATAGTCCTTATGCCAAAATCACTGGAGAACCTAAAAACTATGCTCAATGACCTCAATAGTTTCTCCAAGCGGATAGGCCGATGGGAAACACTATTGAGGTCATTGAGGTCTTAAGATGAACATGGAGTAAACAAAAATCATGTTTAACGTCCATTTCACACCTATGCCGGTAGTTGTTGGGAGCACTAAGCTCGAAGTTGTTGACGAGTATGTTTACCTGGGACAAATAGTCCGACTAGGTAAGTCCAACATCGACCGAGAGGTCTATTGACGGATTCAACTCAGCTGGGCAGCGTTCGGGAGATAACGAAACATTTTCTCGTACCAGCACTAGAGTCCAAGGGGAAGGCGTTGGCCGTTAGTTTGGACATTGCGAAGGCCTTCAATCGGGTTTGGCACAAAGCGCTTCTTTCGAAGCTCCCTTCCTATGGGCTTCTCGAGAAATTGTGCAATTGGATCACCAGCTTCCTTGCAGATCGGAGCATCAAGGTCGTTGTAGACGGTGCATGCTCCGACTACAAGCCTATTAACGCTGGTGTTCCACATGGCTGTGTGCTATCTTCAACGCTGTTTCTTCTGGATATCAATTATATGTTGCTAACTGATAACATTCATTGCTATGCAAATGACAGCACTGGTGATGCTCTATAAACTTGTGTCTGAAGTCGAGTCTTTGCTGAACAAAGTCTCGGATTGGGGGCGACTAAATCTAGTCCAGTTTAATCCTCAGAAAACACAAGTTTGCGCGTTTACCGCCAAAAGAACCCCTTTGTCGTATCTCCCCAGTTTCAAGGCACTTTCTTCTTGCCTCAGCCAGTATCGGAATCCTCGGAGTCGACATATCGAGTGACGTGAAGTTTCGTGGTCACTTGGAAGAGAAGGCCAAATTTACCTCTAAAAAGCTTGGCGTGCTCAGCAGAGCGGGACAGTATCTCATGCCGGCACACCGCCTGCAACTTTACAAGGCGCAAGTTCGGCCTCACATGGAATAATTTTCCCATCTCTGGGTAGGGGCTCCCCAGTGTCAACTCCTTCCACTTGACCGCATCCAGCGCAGAGCGGCTCGAATCGTTGACGACCGAGTCCTTTCCGATCGGCTTGATTCATTGGCACTGCGAAGAGATGTTGCATCCCTTTGCATTTTCTTTCGCATTTACCACAGAGAGTGCTCTGAGGAATTGTTCGGATTAATCCCAGCCGCCAAATTTCACGAACGCACATCGCGGCAGAACCATCCACACCATCTGGATGATTGGCAGTTCACCACTGTGCGATTTTGAAGATGTTTTCTTCCTCGCACGACTTCCTTGTGGAATCGATTACCATCAGCGATTTTTCCGGACCGATACGACTTATGGACCTTCAAGAAAAGAACCTACTCCTTTTTAAAAGGCCGACAACGCATCTGCAATTCCCCTCGTTCCCCTGGTGTAGCAGTTGTTCATGGGCGGCGGTAGTCAGGTAGTCACTTACCATAAGGTGAGCTGCATGTTCGTTTGCCCGCTCTTCTATATAAATAAAACATACCTCAAAACTAGTTTGTAGAACCAGTGCGTGTTGCCAGTGATGATCTATGGATCTGAGACGTGGTCCTTCACTGCTGGCCATATGAGAAAACTCAAAGTCGCTCAGCGAGCTATGGAGAGGGCTATGCTGGGCGTTTCTCTGCAGCTCTCGCACCAGCAGGCGAAGTGTAGGGCGTTCCCCCACTAGATGGAATGTCTTGGGGTAAAGAGTTCAAGAGATTCGTAACCTGGTAAACAACCTTGGTGAAGTATTAAGGTGCACGTACTCACCATTGGATTAAGGCCAGAACCTTGCCTCAGAAATGTGCCAGTAATGAACCAAAATGAATTGCACACGTTGAACTGGTTTGTGAGGAGTTTCGTTTCGTGTCCACACCCGTGTGTGCTTGAAGACCTGGAAAGAAAGGCTAATGTTGGAGGACCATACAAATGAAAAAAATTAAAAAATTACATAACTATCTTCATTACGGATAAGGGTGACAAGCGAGCACACAGCCCACCTAATGGTAAGTGGATGCTGCGGTCCATAGAATTTTACATCTAGCCTCGACTAAGATTAACAATGCAGATGCATTATCACCCCTAAGAATTAAGATGAAATGATTCGTTTCCAGTGATAAGGGTCTCCGGTTGTCTGTCTACACTCACCACACAAAAATATTAATCTGTTATTTCCTACCGATTCGTTCTCGATCGAGTCGACTCATCCGTGCTACTACCATAATGTAGATACAGCGTGAAACTCCGGTTTTACTCCGTATTATACGTGGTAGAATCATACTGCAGCTGTATTAGTAGTATAGTTAACCGGATAGATGTAGATGTCTATGGGTTACAGTAACCACTTACCATCAGGTGGACTGTGAGCTCGTTTGTCATCCTATCCTATAAAAAAAATGTCTTACCATTCATACGGTGAAAATCTGGCCATCACGAACAGAGTGAACGACACGAGAATGTACGCTGCTAGAACGTACAGCCAAATCTCGATGGCCAGGGGATTCAAAAAGCTGAACAGCCTTGTGGGTTGTGACGTTGGAACCTGGAAAATTAAAACACAAGTAAAGTTACAGCCTATATACATCCCACTGCTGGGCACTTGCCTATTGACCACCTCGTTGGTCTAGTGGTTGTATTAGTGCGACTGTTGATCATGAGTTCCTGGGTTCGAATCCTGTGTCAGCCCAAACAAAGTCAGTTATTGAGATTTTCCGTCAAGAAATTCTCAGTAGCCGCCCGGAAAGCATGTAAAGCCGTAGGTCCTGCGACTGATCTCTCTCTCTCTCTCTCTCCTTTTGTGTCGGTTTACCGTCCCATCGGACTATGAGAGTGAGGCAATAAAATGTGCCCTGTGCTTGCGCACACTCGTGCACTATAATACTGTTCTGCGCAGATGGTTAGTCTCGGTTTAGGCTGGCCGCCGTGACCGAAATTCGGTCTGGAGGGACATTGTATACCTTCTCTAATTTCAGAGAGGGTAAAAAACTATGGATTTAGATTATTAGGTTTATAATATAGGAATAGAATTGTCAGACAAAATATAACAAAAGATGTTATTAGTCTTCTCCTTCTTAGACATAAGAGTCTGTTAACAGGAGAAGATTTTTTTTCACGTGGTAGAGCCATGCTGCAGCTATATTAGTAGTATAGTTGTAGCACGAATGGCTCGGCTCGACCAGGGAAGGACCACGCTCTCACAGAATACCAGCGTAAAATAGCAGCTTAACACTGCTGTGTTTCGCATGGTGAGTGTAGAGAGCCGGAGACTCATTTTACTGGAAAAGAGGCATTCCAGCTTAGTCCTCACGGGTGACAACGCATCTGCATTTTGATTCGCAAACGAGGATAAATGTAGATGTCTATGGGCCACAGCAACCACTTACCATCAGGTGGACTGTGTGCTCGTTTGTGACCATGTCCTATAAAAAAAAGGAATGATGAAGTGGAAGAAAAATCGCCATTCAGTGGCGAAGTAAGAGACCATACATCATACTACCCCGTGGGTGTCGCAAGGGGTGACAGAGGGAAATGAATGAGATGTGAAGTAGCAGACAAATCTGAGTAGAAGTGGCTTAGCATTTAGTTTCAGCGCTGACAACAAGTATTTGTATAGTCTACAAAGAATTGTTTCTGGGTCGGGATGTTTGTCCTTGTGAAACTTATGTATGTGCGATACAGGTTATGCCTGGTAAGACATGCAGAAAGTCTATGGATACAGGTGGCTCAGGACCGTGACTTGTGGCATTACTTGGAGGAGGCCTATGTTCAGCAGTGGATTTGAAGGATTATATCGTATTGGTGATGGTACGGCTTAAATAATACGTTTACGATTTTAATTGCTCACCTCCTCTCATAATTTTTTCTTACGGTCCACGGAAAATCCTTTCCTCTAATGTCCTATACACTCCTTTAAATTTTATGTTAAATCATTCTATTTTAGTGTAAGACTGGTACTCCAAACCCCAGTCGACTAAAAGTGCTCAAAGGACCACTATATGTAAGAGATATCTAGCAATAAGACCGCCTTTTGTTTTCCCTGTGTACGATAAAGGGTATTGTATATACAGCGTATTCTGGCAAGAGCCCTGACTGGACAGTGTTGTTTAAAAAGTACATGGTACATCCTGGGGCTAAACAACACAAGGATTTGCCGATTTTGTTCCTTAACGGATGTGCAAACGTAACACTCATCTGCTAAGCAACTCCTTCTTTTCATTGAGGACATAGGGCTTAGCTGTGAATAATAGCTATAGCAGCGATCATAATAGATCTTATAAATCGCAGCGATACTGCTATTTGTAGACATTCATAGACATAGACATAGATACACGAAAAAAAATGTATTGTATTGTTTTACCTTAAACAAAATTCCAATGCCGAGATTCATAAAGGGCTTCGTGAAATCGATGACGGCTTCGCGAGCGTAATTTATCGTCATGGATGCCACAGCGATGTCAGCTTTCTAAAAGAACAAATAATAATAATAACATTAATAATAAATATCTATATTTGACACTCCTACTACATAATAACATCATTGATCCCTGATTTCTAAGCGAGGATACCTTGTATTTCAGAAGTCAGTTTCTTCCCATTCAGTAACTCTTTGTGTCGAAAGTAGGAAATGTTAATATATATTTAAAACTTAAATTTAAGTCGCGTTTGTGTATGTGTGTGTCTGTGTATGTGTGTGGGTGTGTTTTGTGGGGGTGTATGAATATTATTAGGTTAAGAACTCATAGAGTGATATTTTTCCACGCCCGCAGTGGTAAAGCAATTTTTACTAAAATTCAAAACTTACGAGACGACAGTTTTGTGTGGATTTCAGATAACGCCCGCAAACTTGGTGAGAGATAATTACAAATCAGGCTGGCACAAGTTGGCTTATTTGCGGTGGATCGATTACCGGGAAAGTCCCAGGACGTGTCGAGCCACGTTCGATTGATTATACGGGTTGCTTGCCGGTACAGCGGCCGCCTCTTATAACCGCGCACGTTGTGTGCATGAAGCGTATCGTGGTCCCGCTACTGCTGCGGGTGCGGGTAATTATCTCTCCATGAGTTCTAAACTTTTTGCACGTGGTAGAGCCATGCTGCAGCTATATTATGCTTGTAGCACGAATGGGTCGGCTCGAACGGGGAAGGACCACGCTCTCACAGAAAACCAGCGTAAAATAGCAGCTTAAAGCTGCTGTGTTTCGTAGGGTGAGTGTAGAGAACCGGATACCCCTTTTACTGGAAAAGAGGCATTCTATCTTAATCCTCACGGGTGACAACACATCTGCATCTTGAGTCTTTATTGAGGATAGATGTAGATGTCTATGGGTCACAGTAACCACTTACCATCAGGTGGACTGTGTGCTCGTTTGTCACCCGATCATATAAAGAAAAACTAAGTTTTGCTCGCGGCTCCGTCCGCATGGAAAAAGAAACTCGTAACTCGTGGCTTGAACCAAGAAGAACCACGCTCTCATTGGTAACCACGCTGGTAACCAGGCATTTCATATTTCTTTTAGGGGTTTTATAGAATAGGTAAATGTGTCCACGTGCTCTTTTGTCACTTTTTCTAGTATTCAATAAGTTACCTTCACGCGAGTTTGAGATAAAACCTATAAATGTTAATATTTATATTTGTTATGTACTTTTTTATAGATTAAAGGTGACAAACCGTTAGGAAAATCAGTATTTGTTTATTTATTTATCTCCTAAAATTTGATTGTACACAAATTGTATACAATTTAAAGGATTGGCTGCGGCCCATAGATAACTACATCATACAAAATGCAAATGCGTTGTCAGCCGTGAGGACTAAGATGGAATGCCCCGTTTCCAGTAAAATGGATCTCCGGTTCTCTGCACTCCCAACACAAAACAGCAGCGTTAAGCTGCTATTTCAAGCTGCTGTGAGAAATTCTGTGAGAGCGTGGTCCCTCCCCGGTCGAGCCGACCCATTCGTGCCACAACTGTAATACTAATATAGCTGCAGCATGTCTCTACCACGTACAAAACCTACCAAGCTAACTCTATTTTGTTTTGTGTTAAAAGACAAAGGTTTCTTTTCCAAACCAGTGGTAAATTAAACAAACGCATGACGTTCAATTAGTATTATTTATAATCTATATTGAATAGAAAAGTTTCACAGCAGTGTTACGTATGGTGAGTGTACGTTGAGCTGCTATTTTACGCTGGTATTCTGCGAGAGCGTGGTCTCTCCCCGGTCGAGCCGAGCCATTCGTGCTACAACTATACCAGTAATATAGCTGCATCATGGCTCTACCACGTGGGGAAATATATATAGACTTCAGCATCCACTTATCATCAGGTGGACTGTGTGTTCGTTTGACACCCTTATTCTTTAAAAAAGTGTAAGTAAAGTAAGATGTTACATAGTCAAGAGTTCAGCAAAGGCCCAATCATCAAAATCCTTTCCATTAATATACTATCAGTCTCACCCTGTCCATCAGCTCCTTGACAATTCCATTCCATTGTCCCGTGTCCGGATCCCGTGCACCGTACATGTTGTCCGGGACTAAGCGCAGAGTATAATGGAACCCCGCTCTGGCCGCCACCCGGGCTAAAAGGTCGATACAGAAGCCCTCGAAACGCGCATTGCCTTGCAGGTTCCAGCCCTCTTTTACCATGACGTACGGTTTCTCCTGGAAAATAAATTCAGTACACAATAAAGTTACAGCCTATACACACGACACTGGTGGTCACAGATATCTTTTCAAAACTTACAGTTATTTAAATTCAATTGTTTTTATACATTTATGTACAAACTAACCAATACAAAGTTTTCACATGTAGATAGATTAGGATATAAAAGGGGTAGAGTCACATGTTTAGAAAGTTTGCGATAAAGCCAGGCAACAATGACAATTATGCTACTATTGATCCGCCGCGCCCCTCCAGATAGTTTTGGTGGACTTCACATGTCTTCGAACATTTTATTCCATAAGAGCATACTAAAGGAACGGTCACCAGTCTCCATTTATTTATTTATGTTTTATTTGCACACCAAGTACAAAAAGGCGAACTTTTTTTTTATTTATTTATTCAAAGAAACTTATAGCTTTTATATCACATTTGAATGTAAGATGAATGTTAACAATACATTAGTCTGAACAGTTTCCAACGTTGAGAATTACAATGCGAAAACTTTAAACATAATTAAATGAAGTACATATATGAGTTTTAAGATTTTTGAAAGATATACTTACTGCATACCTAATAGCAATGTTAGTAAAGGTAATTTTATAATTAGATAGGGGACAAGAAGTACACACACCACCTAAGCATGATCAACTTGCTTAATAGATGTAATATAACCGTTTAGTTTGCAGTTAAATATGTCAGTATGGTTATAACGCTCATTATGTGTGTTGCAAGCACGAACCAGAAACCGGTTTTTCGAATACTTAGTTTTGCAAAAAGGAGTAGAGAAAACTGCGTTGGAGCGAGCACTCAACCTGGGGCACCTAAATGAAATACGGCTTAGAAGGAAGGGGGAATCTATATTGTTATGTAAAAGTTTAAACAGAAACAACTGATCTCTATGTTCACGCCGTAATTCTAATGAATGATGTAGCGCAGAATGATCTTTAAATTTGTAACTAAGTATTTTCAGAAACTTATTTTGAATTCTTTCAACTCGTTCCACATAAGTAGCGTAAATAGGGTTCCACACCGTAGATGCGTATTCAAGATGATTTCTTACTAAAGAATTATACAGCATAACATACGTGTTTGTGTTTTTGAAGTCTTTGCATTGTCGGAAGACAAAACCTAACATTCTATAAGCCTTGGCAGTAGCCTTGTGAATGTGAGGCGCAAAGTTTAGTTTACTATCGAGATATTTCCCCAGGTCCCTCACTTCGGTCACTCTTTTAATCAAAATGTTATTTAATTTATAATTGTAAACAGTCGGTCGTTTTTTTCGGGAATAAGTTATGGTATAACATTTATTAATATTTAATTTTAGATTATTTGCCGAGCAATATTCATAAAAATTGTTTAAATGTTTTTGAAATAGTAAAACGTGTTCGAAATTCTTAACGAAGGTAAATATTTTAGTATCATCAGCGTATAGTAATGCTTTTGAATGTTGAATGCTACGTATGACATCGTTTATAAATATATTAAAAAGAAGAGGACCGAGATGAGAACCCTGAGGCACACCGGAAGTGATCGGGACAAAGCTCGAAGTATAGCCCTTCACAGCTACTGCCTAAGACCTATCACGCAGATATGAGGTTAGCCATCTCAAGAGATCGCCGTGTATACCGATGTTTACAAGTTTAGCAATCAGTAGATTGTGCGAAATTTTATCAAAGGCTTTTGAAAAATCGGTATACACGGCGTCAACCTGATAGCCTCTTTCCATGGCCTCCAATGTTTCATCCTGAACCTCGCATAAGTTAGTTTCTGTGGATCTACCAGGGATGAAACCGTGCTGACTTGAAACTATTTGCGGTTTGATTACAGGGAATAGAGAATCGTATATAATTTTTTCAAATAGCTTGGGTATAACAGATAGTTTGGATATACCAAGATAGTTAGCTATATTGTGCTTGTCTCCACTCTTAAATATGGGAACAACAATGGATTGTTTCCAATGCAAGGGCATCACACCTTGCCTCAAAGAAATATTAAAGAGTAATGAAAGAGGAGCTGCTAAATGCTTACTGCATTGTCTGAGCAAGATTGGATGAATACCATCAGGGCCAGTACCTTTGTTGATATCGAGATTCTTCAAATATTTTTCGACTTTAACGTTATCAATGTAAACAGAATTAATTATACAATTATTACTTTTCGTTTAGCAGTTCATAACTTTCTTGCCAGGTGGCTCAAATACAGAATGAAAGAATGAATTAAATTGATCAACAATTGTCTGACCATCCGATGCATATATATCACCAAAGTATAGAGTATCATACATATATACACCCTCAAATTTACCGGACGCCGCTTCAAGCGCGCTGCAAATTTGACAGTAAACTGGATCGTGTATGGCATCCATATCACAGCACTTTTATGCGAGAATACTCATCGATCAGTGCATTACAGGCATTCATATCAAGCAGTCGTATTTTTATCAGATCGATGTTATATCAACATATAATATATTAAATTGTTAATTGCAATTTAGAGTGATGATTTAACACGTGCTCGGCGGTGAAAGAAAACATCGTGAGGAAAGTCGCATGTCTGAGAAATACACAAAAAATATATTTTGAAGACATCTGAAGTTCGACAACACGCATTAAAATAGCGCGGCGGACATTCCCTTGCTCTAAAACCCTCTCATAAATGAGAGGAGGCCTATGCGTATGTGGGATGTATAAATGCTGTAACTTTAACTTTTTTAACTTTAATATCATATCAATTATCATACCATAGCAACCTTTATATCATCCTTTATCATATATTAATAAGTGTTGGAATTACACCCCAAATTTATTGGTCCTTCGAGCTTGCCAACAAAGGGATCTTTCGTCGGTCCTTCGTACCTTTGATAGCGTGCGGGAAGATCAAAGCGGGACCTAGTGTCCGCAATCCGCCTGCCAATCGTGACGATAAACACAAATCCTCAATCTAATAGAGGCTGAAGTCCAGCTGCGGAGTTTAACTGGCTAGTAGAGAAGAAGAAGTAGAAGAAAAAATAAAACTAAGTTTTTGAGCAATTTGAGGCTTTTAAGTAGAAAACAACTTTATAACGTAAATTTTAATCTAAACTTATGTCAATGTAAAGTAATCATTCACAAGATGAAGCTCCCAAGTCACAGAATACTATCCCTTCTATCCCCACTATCTAGTCTTGAGGAGCTGATCTTAGTAACTGAGATACTGTTTTCATGTGTTTGTCGGAATAACAACAGCAGATCCCACTTCTGATCTCGGAAATACATTAGGAGGTTAACTGTCAAAAATAATAAAAGTGTGAGAGCGGTTGTTCAATTTGCTGTATTGTTTACGCAGTTAATCATTATCATGAATAAAACAGCGTAACGCACTATACATTCAGTATAGGCAATTACAATTCGATCATTCCGTAATATTATGTTCCTGTCATAATCACTCACGTGTAAAGTGAGGGACGCAATTACATTAAACACCAAAGTATGCAAAGCAACAACAACACCATCCTCCTTGCCTGCACCAGAAAAACCACCACAACGGACAGAACCACGATACTGTCTTAGCACTCGTAGAATGACTTAAGCGCAATCTTTCGTGCACGACACCTATAAAGATTTCTAGTATAAATAATATTTATACTACAAATCTTTATACTGCACCAACAAGTGGAGGGAGTTTCTTGATATACCCTCAATTATACCACACCATCATCGATATGACACTCCGCTAGACTGACACAACCTCTCGCTTACTCTCGATCTAACCGGTATTTATAGACTCGCCGACTGTTTATTAATTAGCAACGATCTTAGGATGCTGATATCGTAATGTGGGCGTATCAAATGATTACGCGGTTGAGTTCGTCGTTTGGGTACGTTCACTAATACGAAAGTGACTCACCTCGACAGTGACGACAGTTAATGTGACATTAGGTGGGGGGTCACGGCGATATGCAGCCGGGTCTGATAACTGGAGTCCTTCCTCTGGAGACCAGCTTCCAGCCAACACGGTACCACCCTCCTCACCACCCGCTAGCCGCATCAGTTGTAAGTTGAACTTCGTGCGGACCCCACGTGTAAACTCGATGGGGCCCGTCAGACCGTGCGCTTGGATCTGAAAAAGATTTTTTGTTCAGGTTCATAAAAGAACACAGAGCCTAAGGGTTAAACATTTAAACACATTACTTTGAGCACTGGTCTTTTTAACCCCTGACGAAATCAGATGGGTGTTATATGTTTGTATTGTATATATGTGTGTATGTATGAACCGATCTTGATTAAGTATTTTTTTCGTTAGAAAGCTCCCTTAATCGAAAATATTCTTAGCCACATTCCAAGAAAATCTGTTCAGCCGTTTGAAGATCATCAGCTCTTTTCTTCGGGGTTTTTTTCTTTAATTATTTAATTTTTCAACGTGTTTTTATTAACTCGCTTTCGTGTAAGCATATCTCTTTGGACAGAATTTGGTAATAGATTTAAAAAAAAATCTAACTTCTCGATGAGAGTTGAAATTTTGAACATACATTAGGGTGCGTACAGATCTAGTAACGTGTTGTATAACTTTTGTGTTATAACACGTCCACATTATGTAACATTGTTTTTCAACATTGCAACATATAACAATACTGTACACATAGGAATAACAATGCAATATAGCAATGTTATATGACATAGTCGTTTGTCGATCTGCTGTTTGAGTTATATAACATTTGGGTCACGTTATATAACATTCAGCAACACTTTTTTCAGGATTTACTTCAATTCTCCATTGGCGGAATCATTCACCTAAGCGATTGGGAGCTTTTTGAAGTTTTAAAGTGAGATTATTCGTATTATAATCTGATACAAAGAGAGCTATATCGTCAGCGAAGAGAGCAGTTTTTACCACTGGATCTTTAGGGATATAACTCGTAAATAGTGTAAAGAGGAGTGGAGACAGAACGGAGCCTTGCGAGACCCCAGCATTTAGAAAACGTTTCGGAGAACGGGTTCCATCCACTCTATAGCGAAAACAACGATTTGTAAGGAATGCTCGAATAATGTGTACGAGCCTGTCTGGTACGTTTAGTTTGTAGAGCTTGTAGAGCCAGCCGTCGAGCAAAACCTTATCAAATGCCTTTGCGACATCAAAGAAGAGGACTCCCGTGTTTTGAGATTTTTTTCTTTGACGGATGGCGATGAAAGCCAGACGGAATATATTCTGTTAGGCGATGAATTTGGTTAGTGCACGAGTGTTCGACTCTAAATCCAAACTGTTCATCAGAGAGGAGTCTGTTTATTTCAGTGAAGAGATGGAGGCGCTTTTGAATGATGCGCTAGTATAATTAGTATAATTTACCCAATGTATTGAGTAGACTGATGGGCCTTTAGCTGTTGGGTCGATGGCGCGGTTTTCCCGATTTTGAGATCCCTGTTACGTCTGCTTCTTTTCAGATATCCGGAAAAGAGCAACTCGAGAGAAGCGCGTTGAAAATTCCTACGAGGAGGTAAATTAGTTGTGCCGGAAGAGATTTCATCACCTTGTTACTGATGCCGTCTGGCCCAGGAGCTGATCTATTCTTAAGGCTTTTTATGGTTTCTGTGACTTCATCGACAATCACAGGATCGAGTGGAACGCCCGCTGGCCTTAACGCAGATCTACGTTCGAATTCCACTTCTACCTTTAAGAGATGAGTGGGATCTGTTGGTACACTGGATGTGGTACACTCGCTCTCTAGACTGTCGGCTAGGCATTCGGCTTTTTCGAGATCGACTATGGTGAGAACGGGGTGGTCTAGCCTCACGAGAGTCGGCATGGGAACAGTTTGCTCTGCTTTCAGAGCTCTAGAGAGCCTCCGAAAGGCGTCTTGGGATGGTTCTATTCCTTCTAAGAGGTTATCCCATTTATCGTTGCTAAATAATATAATATAATAATAATAAACTTTATTTTTGACATAAAATATTACAGTAAATGTTTCATTGAATCCATAGGCTCCCAAACTAGTGTAAAACTGTGTTTCAGGAGCCAGTGGCTTCTCCCATAACATTGTATTATTAATTTATGCCTTAACATAACATTATAACTTATTAAACGACTCAAAACATGAAAACAAAGTTAAAAAATCAGGCTATGCGTTGTTTAATCTCGCTTTGCAGAGAACGTAGCCGAATTTTGTTATCTTTTGTGCGATAACGCCATTTTAGTGCGGTGTTTTTCGCTGTAAGCAGTTGCCGAAGGTCCGCCGGAAGCTTCTTGTATCAATCACTCGACACACGAACCTTACGGTAGCAGTCTTCGACCGCTGAAGTGAGGTGAGTCGATAAGACGCTAATCGCCCTATTGGCTTTCCCCGGTCAGTCAATCTTGTCCGGAATGGAGTCTAAATGATAGGAGTTCGTAGACTCTAGTTCGACCTCGAGTTTAAGCCAGTCGACGATGGTTTTGGTCTGAGGGACCTCACCTGCCGACCGGCGCAGTTCGAAGACGACCGGTCTGTGGTCCGAGCATATTCGACGAAAGTTTCGATCGATTTAATAGTAAGCCGGATGTCTTTTAGTAGTGCTACATCAAGGACGTCCGGATGATGGTGTGAAAGAAAAGGATAGCAAATTGGACTCTCAGGAGTGATAATGTCGAAGTTAAGTCTCTCGTTAGAATTCCAACTAACATATTTACTGTAGATGTTGACTTCTAATATATATTTCTGTGGTGGCAGATAAGCTGATGCAATTATGACAGGCAGATGGCCCGTAAGTGCTATATTACAAACTGATTCTTCTAAGTTAGCAAGGGGTATACAGTGCAAGGACCTTTTGTAGTAGATCGAGGTGCCGCCTTTAGGTCCTGTCAGCCTATCATTACTTACTAAGGTATAATTAGCTATTTTGGGATCGCTCACGCTAGGTTTCAAGAAGGTCTCTTGCACTAGCATGATGTCGACATCATGATCGCGTAAAAAGTACACGATTTCTTCCTTTTGATCTCTGATGCCGTTTGCGTTAAAGAACGCGACAGTCAGACAGCTAGGTTTGGTTCTCCCGGTAGGTTGTACTGTCATTATGGTTTAAAAAGGGGGTTGTGTCTAGCATTGGAATAAACCAATCGCGTCGATAAGATTAATGATCTTATGACGGAATCAAGATTTCTTATATAGTGTCATGCAGTATGACTACTAGTGAGTAATGAGGATTAGTATGACGTCACAAATCAAACATCGTATTTCAACCTAATGACCTATAACGGTACCACTGTGCATTGGTCACGGGGTACGGGTACAGGACACCGTGGGTACTGCAAAACACCTGAAACAGGTTATTAAAAATAAGTAAAAGTAACCGTGATAAAATTCGTAAAAACAGTTTCATCCAATGAGTAGTGTTCGTGTGTAGTGTAGTATAGCCCCCGTGACTATATATATATATATATATATATATATATATATATATATATATATATATATATATATATATATATATTAGTGTTAAGTTAAGTTAAAGAAGTAGCAACACGTCTTATTTCATTGTCTCATTTCCTATATCACATGGCGACCCTGCCAGGCGGTGCGCTGCTACAATGCACGCGCACCGCCGCGGCCTGCAAAAATTGTTGAAAATTATATAAATATTTACCCGGACTACACGGAATATATACTCGGATGTGACGAAAAAATAAAAAAATATGAATACAAGAAGAAGCCACAATAATAATTTTCAGAAGGTGACTGAAAAATTAAAAAGTATAATGTATATGAAGTAGTACTATGAAGGCAACTAATAGGAAAATAAATAGGGTTTTTTTTAAATATAATTACCAAAGAACAAAATTCAAGAAACGGCAGGTTTATTTGAAAAGGAAAGCAGCGTTTTTACTCTTGCAAGCTTCGTCCAGAAGAACAAAGAAGAAAATTAAGAGGTAATTTCGCACCTGTGTGATTTTAACTCCATTTAAAACTTTATTGGTATAGGTAATGTGTCAATGAGAAGAGGCGTGTTGCTACTTCTTTAACTTTAATTATAATGATCTTATTCTACCACAACACTAATATATATATATATATATATATATATATATATATATATATATATATATATATATATATATATAGTCACGGGGGCTATACTACACTACATGTGTAAATATAAGAAATAATGCACACCTTATTAATATTATCCCGCAGCGTCTTGCCATGTTTCCACGATGTCACGCTCTCGCAGGATATGTTCGCTGTGTGGACCTCCTTCGTAGATGCTAGTGCTAACGCGAGGACCTGCACTGCGTCGTACAGAAGTGCCGGTTCAGTCTGTCAATATGATAATAAGATGATGAAGATTAGTTTCTTCCTCTCCTTTCCATCGGACAACTAGAAGCTAGGTCAGTCTCTGCCCATTTGTTGGTGAGTTACTTAGTTCTGTCACGAAGTCCAAGTGGAACAACTTTTTAATGTACTATTCAGAGACTTTTGACCACTCGTTGGACTAGCGGTTGTAACCGCGGTTGTTGATCATGAGGTCCTATGTTCGAATTCCGGGTTGGGTCAAAATTTTTTTCAAATTGTGTTTTCTTCTCACAAAATCCTCAGTAGCAGCCAGAGTCAGGAAGTTGGTGGTGTTTCACCAGCGCGCCTCGTAAAGCACGTACAATCGTTGGTACTGCGTGTGATCTCTCTCCGGTCATGTCACATTGCCACACCATCGGATGATGAGAGTAGGGAATAGAGATTACTCCTATGCGTCTGATATCTCTCAGGTCGTGTGGGATTACTCTCTCCCATCGGACTATGAGAGTGAGGCAATAGAGAGTGCACCTGTGCTTGCGCATACACTTGGGCACTATAATCCTGCGCAGATGGCTAGTCTCTGTTCAGACTGGCCACCGTAAACAAAATTCGGTTCGGAGGAAATTACTATTATTAACCCTTAATTTGGCAAGGAAAAAAAAGTTAAAAATACCTATATTTTTGTTAATATTTATTTAGTAGTGAGTAAAAACATACGAAAAAAAATAATATAAAAAATATAATATACTTATTTTCGCGAAAAACCAATGTCCGCCACTACGGCCATTGCCAAATATGTAAAAACTGACTTGCTGATTTAACTGTCCGGTCTGACGGACATTATCAATTTAGGGCAAAATAATAAATCCAACTATTTTAATATTTTATTAAGAATATAATAGCTTATGACTAAAAATAAATGCCATCTTCTTTTTACGATTGCCTTCAGTCGCCTTTCTGTGAACCAACCAAGCATTGTTTGCATAAATGTCCAGTAATTGCCCAAAAATGCCCATGTACCAGTGTAGTGTTTTAAATGGCGTTTTGTACAGCTATATCAACATATCAGCTAGGTCGACTCCATCCATATGTTTGTTGTAGATACTGTCGCACAATTTGTGGACACTGTACTACTACTGTCTTCTTCTCGCCCTTCAAATATCGCAAGATCTTTTCCACAGGCTCAGCCACAGCAGTAGAGGAATAGTTGCTGTTAGTAGAAGGACATTCATCATGCATTTCAGATTCAGAGTCTGATTTTCCACTAGCATTTGATGGAGCATGCTTGTTAGGAACTAAGGCTAATACTCTTGACGCACGTGTGTGCTGTTGACAAGCAGAAAAGAAAAACAAATAAGAAAGCACCCATAACCGCAAATTAAACGAACTTTGGTGATGTCCGTCCCAGCGGACAATCTAACTTGGAACAACATTTCTAGATGTTTGGCAATATACGCTGGGACGGACAAAGAGGTTAAGAAGCAAAAAAAAACCAATAGAACACACCTCATACGTTAGGAATTGCGAGTAAACATAATCACACATATATATTCTATAACCCAATGCAAAATACTTTTACTTTTGTTACACAAAACATAAAAAATATCAAATTTTTTACCTTGCTAAAAACAGATAATCGCCTCCTCGCCGACATTTTGTTTTCGAGTGACAGATACAGTTTTGCCACTCTAGAAATTCCTTTTGCACAATCTTATTTATAGAACAACAAATAATTGCCAATAAAAGAAAAAAATTTAATCCATTTGCAAGACGCACAGGATTTTTTTTGAAACTTATGTCCGTCCCAGCGGTCAAAATCAAATTAAGGGTTAATGGGCTCTTGACTATTGTCTGAGGAAGCTCAAGGTCACTTAGCAAGCTGTGGAGAGGGCAATGCTCCGAGTTTCTGTGCGTAATTGTATTTTTGTGGAAGAGTGATAAAAACAAGCACACAGTCCACCTGAGGTTAAGTAGATGTTGTGGCCCATAGATATCTACATCTCTCATGTGTAAAGAATCAAAATGCAGATGCGTTGTTATGGACTAAGTTACAATTCCATATTTCCAGTAAAATGGGGTCTATTTTTCTATACTCGTCATACGCAACACAGCAACATTGATCTGCTATTTTACACGAGTATTCTGTAAGTGTGTTGTTCTTCCTCGGTCAAATCGACCCATTCATGTTACAACAATAATATAGTTGTAGCGTGATTGTATCACGTGTATCATTCTAATTCAGGATATCCGCAGTAGAACCAGAGCAAACAACATAGCCCAACTGATCAGTAAATTCAAGTGGGTCGGCCCTATAGCTCAAAGAAGCACGAACTGTTGCGAAAGAAAGGTTCTCCAGTGGCAGTCTCAAACCAGTAAGCGGAGAGTAAGTCCCAATACGTGGAATGACGATCTGTTAAAAGATGCAGTAAGTCGATGGAGACAGGTGATTCAAGACCATTTTTGTGGCATTTCTTAAGGGAGACCTTTGTTCAGCAGGGGACTCGTGAAGGGCTGTAATGATAATGATGACGATTTGACGGCTACTTTAGGGCCAGCTAGTAATAAATTAAAATTCAGCCACAAAAAGCAACGCGTTTAGTTAGGTACGTTAAGTTATGATTAGTAAGCACCCCACCTTACTGCGGATATTAGCGTAATATTGAGTACATTACACTAATATTGACAGTACATTACGCTAATATTTGCAGTACATTACGCTAATATTCGCAAGGCGTATCATGTTGAGTGTATCACGCTAATATTCTTGGAGATAGTGGCTCTCCCAGGAAATAAAAACTAGCATAATTTCAGGAACTAACCTTTATATGCCCTCCACTAAGGATGTTAGCGCCAATGGGATGGAACTTCTCCATGATCTGCAGTGCTTCTTTCACTTTATCAGATTCCCGGTCGACCAATCTCCAGCCGCTCATGTTCACGCGGTTGTAGTAGAAGTCTTCGAGATCGAAGAGTTCCATATCCTGCAAACAAAAATCCAGGTCCGGATTTCAAATCCCAGGTCAGGCAAAAAATTTGTTATTAAGTTTTTCAGTCAAGAAATTCTTAGGAGCAGCCAGAAAGTTGGAGGGGTTTTACCATCGGAGAACAAGTAAAGTCAATGGTTCTGCGCCTGATTTATCTACTATCGTGTTGGATTGCCGTCGCATGGGACTAGTGAGAGTGAGGCAATAGAGTGCACCTGTGCTTGCGCACACACTCGTGCACTATGATCCCGTCCTGTGCAGACGGCTAGTCTCCGTTGCGACTGGCTGCCGTGACCGTAATTCGGTCTGGAAGATATTAGACATAAATTTGATATCACCAGGCGGTTATATCGAATTGCGTTTTTACGTCGAATAATAAAATAGTTTTTGTAGTTAAATACCCTTGCGACATCCACTCGGTTTGCCGACTTATGTTAATTTTTTTTTTAGGATAGGGTGACAAACGTCACACTGTCCACCTGATGGTAAGTGGTTACTGTGACATCTAGAATTATCTTAATTTTTTTATAGGAGAGGGGGCAAACGAGCATGCGGCTCGTTTGCCCCCTCTCCTATAAAAAAACCTGATGGTAAGTGACTACCGCCGCCCATGAACAACTGCAACACCAGGGGAATCGCAGATGCGTTGCCGGCCTTTTAAAAAGGAGTACGCTCTTTTCTTGAAGGTCCCTAAGTCGTATCGGTCCGGAAAAATCGCTGATGGTAATCGATTCTTCAAGGAGGTCGTGCGAGAAAGAAAACATCTTCTAAATCGCACAGTGGTGGACCGCCAATCATCCAGATGGTGTGGATGGTATCGGGAGTTCTGCCGCGATGTTCGTTCGTGCAATTTGGTGGCTGGGATTAATCCGAACAATTCCTCAGAGCACTCCCCATGGTAGATGCGAAAGAAAATGCAAAGGGATGCAACATCTCTTCGCAGTGCCAATGAATCGAGCCAATCGGAAAGGGCTCGGTCGTCGACGATTCGAGCAGCTCTGCGTTGGATGCGGTCAAGTGGAAGGAGCTGGCACTGGGGAGCCCCTGCCCAGAGATGGGAACAGTATTCCATGTGAGGCCGAACTTGCGCCTTGTAAAGTTGCAGGCGGTGTGCCGGCATGAAATACTGTCCCGCTCTGCTGAGCACGCCAAGCTTTTTACGAGTAGAGGCCAATTTGGCCTTCTCTTCCTAATAACCACGAAATTGCACGTCACTCGATATGTAGACTCCGAGGATTCCGATACTGGCTGAGGCAAGAAGGGGAGTGCCTTGAAACTGAGGAGATACGACAAAGGTGTTCTTTTTAGCGGTAAACGCGCAAACTTGTATCTTCTGAGGATTAAACTGGACTAGATTTAGTCGCCCCCAATCCGAGACTTTGCTCAGCAAAGACTCGACTTCAGACACAAGTTTGTTCCGGTACTCAGCGAAGTTTTCCCGAGAAATATTGGCACGGCCGGTAAATAGAGCATCACCAGTGCTGTCATCCGCATAGCAATGAATGTTACCAGTTAGCAACATATCATTGATATGCAGAAGAAACAGCGTTGGTGATAGCACACAGCCTTGTGGAACATCAGCGTTAATAGGCTTGTAGTCAGAGCATGCACCGTCTACAACAACCTTGATGCTCCGATCTGCAAGGAAGCTGGTGATCCAATTGCACAATTTCTCGGGAAGCCCATAGGAAGGGAGCTTCGAAAGAAGCGCTTTGTGCCAAACCCGATCGAAGGCCTTCGCAATGTCCAGACTAACGGCCAACGCCTCCCCCTTGGACTCTACTGCCTCCGCCCATCTATGGGTCAGGTAGACCAGAAGATCACCAGCTGATCGGCCCCGACGAAAACCGTATTGGCGGTCACTAATCAGCTGGTGATCCTCAAGGTACCGGATGAGCTGGCAGTTAATAATGGATTCCATTATTTTGGAGAACAAGGAGGTGATCGCGATAGGCCTATAGTTGGATGGGTCTGAGCGGTCGCCTTTTTTAGGGATCGGGTGGACAAAAGCTGTCTTCCATGAATTCGGGACTACGCCTTGGGAGTAGGAGTACCGGAAAAGACGCGTTAGGACCGGTGCCTACTCCGGAGCACACGTCCTCAGCATAATTGGGGGAGATTCCGTCAGGCCCACTCGACTTCTGGATGTCCAAGGAGAGCAGTGCTTTGCGAACCGAGCGCTGTGAGAACAGCACATCCGGCATGGCGCACTCACACCGCGGGATGGTCGGCGGTGTTTTCCCCCCGTCATCAAGAGTCGAGTTGGACGCAAAAAGGGAGCCTAAAAGGTCGGCTTTGTCTTTTGCGTCATGGGCCAGTGAGTCATCCTCCCTGTGCAGAGATGGTAGTGATGGCTTACAGAAATTCCCTTGGACAGCCTTGGCGAGAGACCAGAATGCACGGGTTCCCGAAGGAAGGCGAACTAGTTTCTCGCCAATTCTGCCTATGTGCTCTGACTTTGCTTTGGCAATAACTCTTTTGAGGGACCTGGAGGCGAAGTTATACTTCTTTTTAAGTGTGCTGGTGTTTACATCCGAGTCGCCGAAGCCGCAGCCCAGGCTTGATAACACTCCTGCTTACTGCGTAATGCAGTCTTACAGGAGCGACCAAACCAAGGCTGAAATCTGCCTCCGATGGGTACCACAGATGATGGAATAAATAGTTCCATTCCCTGTAGCACCACATCAGTGACAGAGTCAGCAACAGCGCTGGGATCGTCCGGCGAGAAGCAAATCCGCCCCCATGGGTAGGATGCAAAGAAAGACCGCATTCCGTCCCAATCCGCCGACCTGTAATGCCAAACACGGCGGCAACCTGCAGAACGCAACCGCGAAGGGAGCGTGAGTGGCACCACACTCCGGATCAGACAATGGTCCGAAGAGCCGAGAGGGGCATCGACGGAAACCTGATATCCGTCCGGATGAGAGGTCAGCAGAAGGTCCAACAGGGAAGGTGTATGATCCTCCACATCTGGTAGGCGAAGTAACCAGTTGTGTCAGACCATATGCCAAGGCAAAGTCATAAACAGATCTCCCCGCATGATCGGTTAGACGTGAACTGAGCCATTCGGCATGGTGGGCGTTAAAATCGCCAAGGATCACGATCTCTACGGATGGGACCTGTTGTAGCAAGGAATCTGTAGCCATTTGGACGTGGTCGATGAGTCGGTCTGTTTCGGCATTACCGCTATGGGACCTATAGAGGCACCCGTAGACGCGCGGATGGTCGTCGCTGTCTACGCGTAGCCAAAGGATGGACAGGTCCGAACCTTCAAGACTGCCGAGGCGTCGAGAACAGATGTCCTCTCCGACATACACGCAAACTCCAGCCCGAGGCACAAAGGAATGCTCCAATTTGTACCCCGGGTAGGAGAGATACGAAATATCAGCCGGAGAGGAAACCTGCGTCTCGGTCAGAAAGAGCAAGGCCGGCTTCGCCGTCTCGAGATGGTAGTGGACGGCGTTTAGGTTAGAGTGAAGTCCCCTGATGTTGCAGAAATTCACGGATAGCGTGGCAGGGGTCGCCTTGGTGTTCTTGCTCAGTTTGCCCCTAGCAGTTATGCTTTTGAGCGGAATTTTGCCCCCCCCCCCCCCCCCCAGAATACGCGGGGCAGCCTGAGCACCCACGCCCAGGATCGGAATAACATGGTCGTGGATGCTCAGCGAGGGATTCTCCAGGGGTACTGGTACCCTCCTGGGGTAGTTCATCGTGTAATTCCGCTACCATGTTGATGGGGGGGGGGGGGCGGGAATTGGGCCTCCGGCCACCTGCACTCACCAGACGAAACGCAGAAGCAGAGCTTCTACTTCACGCCGGTATTCTGTGAGGTCGTGGTACCAACCCGGCTCGAGCCGGCCCATACATGCAACAGCAAAAACTGCTGCGTGGCTCTACCACCGTTAAATAAAGAATCAAAATAAAGATGCGTCGTCACCCGTGAGGACTAAGTGCCTCTTTTCCAGTAAATTGGGTCTCTCTCTCTCTCTCTCGCTCTATATATATATATATATATATATATATATATATATATATATATATATATATATTATTCGAACCAAACGGTTTGCTACATCGTTCGTGATGCGTACAGAAAAGGAGTGGAATAAGTTGACAGCGTTTGTTTCCATCCGATTACAGTGTAGATGTCTTCAAGGCAAGACTGAATAGGCTTTTGTTAAGTCAGTGCGCTTCACCATCTTATGCCACATCACCAGTCACCATCAGATGGCATTGTAGTTAAACGCTGGCTTAGTATAATATAAAAAGGATAAAAAAAAGATACGTACGAAGGATGTAAAAATATAGTGGTAGTTTTCATTATTCATCTGCAGTTGTAGAACCTGTAAAAGATGATGAAAGATTATCAGTTAAACTTATAAGTATAGTTTACAGTATTTTAATCACTAATTATTAACTAGCGATCAGCCCCGGCTTCGTCTGTGTAGGCTCTATTTAACGTGGCATTATTTAATGTTAAGAGTAAGGGTAGATTACTAATAAGTGGTTAATCTCCCCCACTCCTACAGGCAGTATAAATAACTGCGCAGACAACTAGTTTGGGTCATTCCACGAGTCTCAATAGTTGTCGTCACTCTGTCCGTAGTGTTAATACTTTTAGTACCGGCAAAGAAGGTGACGTTGCAGTGAGGCAGGCCTATGTAGCATCGTGAGTCTATATTTCTGTTGTATTGCATACATCATTTATTTTAGAATATATATTGTATTTACTTTTATGTACTAAATTTCTCCACTACGTAGATACATACAGTACTCAAAGACGTTATATACTCACAGCTCTAGAGAATTCTCGGAGGTGATCCGGGTCGGTGTCAACAATAATGTGCGTTATCCGTTGCGCTTTCAGCTGCTGCAGACCGCGTCGGTAGTCCTTAACGTCGCTGCAACGTACAGTGTACATGTCGCGACCGTCGCTTGCCAGGTTCAAGATATTTATTTCACCTAGAAGAATATAATACAAGTGTATACAATATACACGATTTTGACGTGCTCAAAGTTCATAAAATTTATTAAACTAAGTTTGTATAAAAAGGGTTATTAAAATAATAAGTAATTTAAATAATGATCTATGGAACTGAGACGTTGTCCTTCACTGCTGGCCAGATGAAAAAGCTCAAGATCGCTCAGCGAGCTATGGAGACGGCTATGCTCGGAGTTTCTCTGCGTGATAAACTTAGAAATGACGATATCCGCAGTAGAACCAGAGTGACCAACATAGCCCAACCGATTAGTAAGCTGAAGTGGCAATGGGCTGGTCGTATATCTCGAAGAACCGACAACCGATGTGGAAAAAAGGTTTCTCGAGTGGCAGCCTCGTACCGATAGGTGAAGTGTAGGGCAACCCCCTACTAGATAGAGTGACGACCTGGTAAGACACGCAGGAAGTCAATGGATGCAGATGGCTCATGACCGTGCTTTGTGGCATTCCTTGGGGGAGGCTTATGTTCAGCAGTGGACTTGTGAAGGGCTGTAATGATGATGATGATAAATTTACGACTGTTAACAACCCCTGGGAATGAGGTGATTGATCGCTATCAACATTGAGTTATATGTACTACGTACTAGAGAAGCCATTCCGAACATTGACTATGTTCCACTGAACTGTAGTGCAATCCATATAAACTAAATATTGCGTAAATTGAAGAATTGTGAATTCCATAAAATAATTATTATTACATTTTATTTAGAAATATAATATGTTTGTTTAGATTAAATTAAGATATTTTATATTAAATTCTTATATTTATTTTATATTAATATCTTATTTTATATCAAATTAAAGTCTTCGCGCATGCGCGACTACTACTCCCGCGCATGCGCGAAGACATAGAGTAGTGCACAATTTTTGTTTGGAATGGCTTCTCTAGTACGTAGTACATATAACTCAATGGCTATCAAACCTATTTCTAATTTGTTTTGTGTTGTTAATTCTGTAAGTTATATGATTGTAAGATGTTATTTTTTTAAGTCCCGCTGAATTTCTTGCTGGTTCTTCGCTGGTTCTTTTTCAAAGTTTTTTTTACGAACCAGTGGTAATCAGGCAAAATAATGACTTTCAATAAGTATTATTTATAATCTATCCTACCGTACGAATATTATAAATGTGAAAGTTTGTGAGAATGTATGGATGTTTGTTACACTTTCACGCAAAAACCACTGAATGGATTTTAATGAAACTTTACAATAATTTAGCTTACACATCAGAATAACGCGTAAAAATAACTCATAACAATATTGTGTCAATTGGCCAAAATATAACTATAAATGTTTAGTAATTCTGTTATCCGCGAGCTGTTTTGGCGTGAACACGCCAGAATCACGCAAAAACCTGTGAACATTGAGTTATATGTACTACGTACTAGAGAAGCCATTCCAAACAAAAATTGTGTCCTACTCTATGTCTTTGCGCATACGCGGGAGTAGTAGTCGCGCATGCGCGAACACTTTGATATAAAATAAGATATTTATATAAAATAAATATAAGAATTTAATATAAAATATCTTAATTTAATCTAAACAAACATATTTCTAAATAAAATGTAATAATAATTATTTTATGGAATTGACAAATCTTCAATTTACGCAATATTTAGTTTATATGGATTGCAGTACAGTTCAGTTGAACATAGTCTATGTTCGGAATGGCTTCTCTAGTACGTAGTACATATAACTCAATGCCTGTGAACCGATTTGGATGGGACTTTCACTGACAGATAGCTGATGTTATAAGGAGTAACTTAGGCTATTTTCGCCTAAGTTACTCTTTATAACATAAGTCGCAGGGAACAGGTAGTATTGAATAAAAATGTTTCTGCTTCTGTTACTGCTCAAAAATGGTACAAGTGTTATTCTTTACGGCGGCCCATGTGTTGCTGTCGTGCACAGCGTTCGCCGCATACGGGGCTAAACATCTCGGCCCGCTGAGACCATTCCTCGAAGTTTTCGGCAACATCAAAGGACTGCTAAACTTCTTCGAAAAGATTACACGGCTCGAATAATCACGATATTCACGGCAGTGGCACCCCAGTGCCAACTCCTTCCACTTGAATTCGCATTCAACTAAGAATGGCTGGAATCGTCAACGACTCAGTTCTTTCTCATCGGCTCTATTCACTGGAGCTGCGAAGAGGTAGTGCATCCCTTTGAATTTTCATCGCACAAACAAGCTCATTGTTTACCTGACGGTACACCTACGTCTATTCTCGATTAAGAAACATAATGCAGATATATTGGCACTCTAAGGACAAAAATATAGTTTTCTAATTGCATTAACGGTTCCCGAATGTTAACTTGACTAACTCCGCTGAGAGTGACACAGGTATTTTGACGTGGTCACACGGTCTTCGGTAGTGAGTAATATTAATTTAGGATAGTAATTTTAATACGTTAGTCCATTCTCTTCATAGATCAAATAGGTCGTTTGGAGCGATATACGCTGCACATGCAAAATACGTGCTTAGTTACGGAAGATAGCCTTTCGAAACTTTTTTTATAGTATTAGGTTGAAAAGCGAGCACTTAAATAGTCCACCTGATAAGTGGTTCGCAGATGGTGAGTAGATGTCGTGGCCAATAGACATCTACATCTATCCAGGGTTATGAATCAAAATGCAAATGCGTTGGCACCTCTAAATCCTAAGATGAAATGCCTCGTTACCAGCAAAAAGAGTCTCCCGTTCTCTATGCTCACCATACGAAACACAGAAGCATCATTTTCTGTGAGATCGTATTCCTTCAGCGGTCGAGCCAAACTTTTTTTTTATATATAGGATAAGGGTGACAAACGAGCACACAGTCCACCTAATGGTAAGTGGTGCTATGACCCATAAATATCTACATCTATCCTCGATTACAAACAAAATGTAGATACGTTGTCACCCGCGAGGACTAAGATGGAATGCCTCGTATCTAGTAAAAAGGGTCTCCGGTTCTCTACATTCACCATACGAAACACAGCAGTATTAAGCTGCTATTTTACGCTGGTATTCTGTGAGAGCGTGGTCCTTCCCCGGTCGAGCCGACCCATTCGTGCTACAACTATACTATTAATATAGCTGCAGCATGGCTCTACCACGTGAAAATCTAATCGTCCCGCAGCTATGTCTATATATCCCACGTATAAACGTATGAATTTTGTTTCTTTTTTGTGTATTGTACCGCAATATGGAACACGCAGAATCACATCGGTCTTTGTCTGTCTGTCAGAAGTTATTCTCTGACGACTTTATTAAATTAAGTATTAATTACCTCTATTCATGTTTCTTTCTTTTGTCATTTAGTGAAGAGAAAAAAAAGCTACTTGAAGCATTTAACTGACGTAGATTGTTACGAGTAAGGGCGTATGTCTAACTTTTAGAATGTCCTCTTTGGTCCTGAGCCACCAGCATCCATCGGATCGGGGGTGTTTAGGACAGCGCTTGACTGTACGAGGCTGCCCTTCGAGAACCAATTTCCTCCATCAGTTCTTCAAGCTATATGGCTGACATTACGAATACATAAGCGGAATCCATTAATTTTCTTTCGGTTTATAATTTTCAATTGGGTCCTGTCTGCTACTAAACTAAAACAAAAATCTGTCTTTACAACAGCCTTATCCGCGGTCACTTAGAGTACCGTAGCGTTGTATGGCGTCCACATTATTCTACACACTACTTAAGACTGGAGCGTGTACAGAAAAGATTCATGTGTCATCTATCATACTCAGCGAAGATTAACAAAACGGTGGTGTCCTATAAGAAAAGGCTAAAATACTTTTAACATCATGACTCTTCACCATAGAAGAGAATTGTTAGATTTAATGTTCTTATTACAAATTACTAAGTAATAAGTTAGACTGCCACGTTTTCTAGTACCACGCAGATATCCGCGTACTGCTATTACTCCGGTCATGCCTCCACGCACCAGGATGGTCTTCGGCGCGAACTCCACAATCCCTCGTTTATGTAAAATATATAATACATTCAGTCAGTTAATTGACATCAACATTAATTCACCTAACACCATTCGTAAATTAATTATCAGCAACCTAGTCAGGCAGTCATCCTGAGTATGATTGTTTTTTTTTCTCATGTTAATTATTACGTATATTTTATTTTAATTTCTTATAATATACATATTTAGTTGGGTTAGATCAGTGGTGTGCAAACTTTCTTAATGGGGGGCCAGAAAGTTTAAAAAATTTCATAGGTCCAGAATATAGGAAAAATGCATTTTGTTTTGAAACTTTTAATCATATTTTTTTTTATAGGATCGGGTGACAAACGAGCACACAGTCCACCTGATGGTAAGTGGTTACTGTGACCCATAGACATCTACATCTATCCACAATAAAGACTCAAGATGCAGATGCGTTGTCACCCGTGAGGACTAAGATGGAATGCCTCTTTGCCAGTAAAAAGGGTCTCCGGTTCTCTACACTCACCATACGAAACATAGCAGCGTTAAGCTGCTATTTTACGCTGGTTTTCTGTGAGAGCGTGGTCCTTCCCCGGTCGAGCCGACCCATTCATGCTACAACCATAATATAGCTGCAGCATGGCTCTACCACGTAGAAAAATATAAAAACATTACAGAATTACACGCTTGAACAAATGTTAAAAATTACAATTTAACTTTTATTCGAAGGCCCTGCTATGGTTAGCGTGTGAGACATATAAAATTGCTTTTGATTTGCCGTAATATTTTCAAATGTAGGTTCGAACTGTGACGCAACACATTAACTTCGCGGTTAGTCAAGCTGGCTCCTTTACCAATACGTCTATTATTCTACTATGTAGAATCTACTTTATACTTCTGGATCGTTAAAATATAATTATCGCGAGACATATTGTACTATTCATGTCGAAAAACCGTCGGCGGGCCGGATTAAATGCTTTCGCCGGCCGTACTTTGCCCATCACTGGGTTAGATTATGATAGTTGTTAAATTAAGTTGTAATTTTAATTGAAAGACTAATTATTAGTTTGATTAAATCTCTTTTGTTGTTTAAATTGATAAGTTTTTACAGGCATTTACCAAAACTACTAATGTGTTTTTTTTTGTTTGTTTCTGATTTTGTTCTTTTTTTCTTCTGTTATTAACTTATTTCAGATTTATACACTAATACTAGCAAAAAATATCATGTAGTGTTTACCTTTAAATGATTTTACATACTCTGTGCAAGTAATATAGTAATTATACTTTAAGAAATGTATGTAACGTATGTATTGTAAAATCGCTGGTAGACCCAATAAATAAATTTAAAAAAAAAACCACTTAATGCGGGTATATAGCTCATAATATAGTCAATTAAACCGAAGTAGAGTTTATTTGTTCATAGTTTATTTTAATTTTGTTTTCTATTCTCAATCTTGTTTCAGAATTTTTAGTGCATTATTTCTTAAATTATCTTTATTGCAGTCGAGTATTTCATTTTTTTAATTATTTATTTTATTTTAAACTTTTTAGTGTCCCGACACACCCTTATGAAGTACCGACCGAAACATAGTCCATTTTTACGTTATCAAAAACTTTTTAAATCGATATAGTATTCCTAAGTAAATCAAAACTTAATATATATATATATATATATATATATATATATATATATATATATATATATATATATATATATATTTGTAATCCCCTTTTAATTTCCTTTATTTTAATACCCTACTCGATAGGTTTGGTTAATTTTTTTATCGACGTCATCTATTTGGCGCCAAAAACCCGCCATTTTGTTTATTTTGTTTCAAACAGCTATCTAAGAACACTGTGGTTTTTAAGACGGATAAAGCGATGCCTCAATTGTCGAAATTCATCTAGCCGTTTGAAAGATACAAGGTAATAAAAAAAATTACAAACATATTTACACGATACGCGCGAAAACCATAACCCTTCCTTGGCAGTCGGGTAACAAAGGGATCACTGAGTGGCTTCAGTCCATTGTCTTGTGAATCAAAATGAACATAACAACTCCGCCTTTCGCCCTTTGTGGACTGGTGCGGCTTAGGGGCTTTAGTCTAAAATTACGCATTCTTCGCACTTCACTAAAATAAACTAAGTAACACGAAAAGGAGTTTAAAAAGTTAAGCCTGTTTTATATATACAATAAGGGTGACAAACGAGCACACAGTTCACTTTGATGGTAAGAGGATGGTGTGATTCATAGACATCTACTTTTATCCTTGAATAAGACCACTGAACGATGAACCACCTCGTTTCCAGTAGAAAGGGTCTCCGGTTCCCTACACTCACCATACGAAACACAACAGCATTAAGCTGCTGTGAGAGCGTGGTCCTTCCCGGTCAAGCCGACCCATTCATGCTACAACCATAACATAGTTGCAGCGTGGCCCTACCACGTATAAATTTATATATTTTTTTTATTTATTTAATCTTTATTATTCACTTTACGAAGGGATGTAATGATGATGATGATGAAAGAAACTGTGACACGTGTAAATAATTCACTTTCAGTGAGGAATTTTATCACTGTCCTCAGAGGTGATAACTTATATGTTGCCTGTCATGTTTTCCTGGTGTCCATAAGCTGCAGTATCCAGGTGGAATTTAAAAAATAATTTAAAAAAAAGCGTACCATATCCGTAATCTTCGTATATGATGCCCATTCTTGTCCAATTGAGGTAAGCGGTCAGCTCGGCAAATGCTCTATCCATTAGCTCACGAGACGGGTACAAGTTGATGGTGAAGAAGTCCGACCGGTTGACGGCTGAAAGATAAAAAGTAAGCTTGTTGAAAACTGAAAAGTTAACATTTTTTTACACACCTTTATTAGCTTCGAGTGTACCTATCTATGTAAAGGAATCTTTTTAAGTAATTTTCAACAACGTGCAGATGGCCGATTGACTTGATTTGAACTCGTATCAAGGACTGATGATAATACAATAATTTGATAACTTTATTCTAGTCCTGATCAGGATATAAAAACGTAAGAAACAATAACACTTACGAACGAACGCCATGTTTCTCTTTAATTACACTAAGTGACCAATTATTGTGAATCGCTTCTGTTTTAAATACTTTTGTCTGTTACATAAGTACCCATTGCTCGGTTTGTTTAAACCTTTTCCAACAGGTATTGTACTGGATACTGATACAATGAATGCAATGATTTCTTGTTGTATTGCTATAAATTGAACTAGCATTTAATCAATATAATTGAAAAGCTCAATAAACAATGGCGTTACTGTTGGCTACTATACACAATAACGATCTCACTCTTATAGTTGACTAAAGCTTACTTAAATTTAGTATTAGTCCCGTGAGAACTTATTACGACTGGATATCTTGGGTTTTAATTTTTTTTTGCGTGGTACCCTAAATATTTTCCTAAAATAAAAGCCATAGTTATACTCATTATAATACCAGCTATATGCCAGTGAAAGTCCCGTCAAAATCGGTCCAGTCATTTCGGAGATTAGCCGGAACAAACAGAGGGACAGACAATGTATTTTGTTATGAGTATCTTATATACTTTTATATTCATACATATATAAACACTCACGCCTGTCACCCAGAGGGGTAGGCAGAGACTATGGACTTCCATTTGGCACGATCCTGACAGAACAGAACTTTAACAGTGGTAGAGCCACGCGACAGCTTTTGCTGTCGCACGGATGGGCCGGCTCGAACCGGGGTAGTACCACGACCTCACAGAAAACCAGCGTGAAGTAGAGGTTTACCTCTGCGTTTCGCTTGGTGAGTGCAGGTGGCCGGAGGCCCTTTTTACTGGAAATGAGGCATTCCATCTTAGTCCTCACGGGTGACAACGCATCTACATTTTGATTTGTAACAGATGATAGATGTAGATGTCTATGGGCCGCAGCAACCACTTACCATCAGGTGGACTGTGTGCTCGTTTGTCACCCTTATACTATAAAAAAAACTCTCTCGCTTCCTCCACATCCATATACTACACATTGGCCCATTTTCAATATATCGCCAATAATATATATTTAATAAAATATTTAATAAAATAATTATCACATCTCATGATCAATGCGTATTTTATAGTTTTTTTTAATCTTATATCTATACAAATAAATAAAATTAAAGTGTCTGTTTGTAAATGTTAAAATATTTTTTTTTTAATTTATTAAGCATAATTATGATACATTAACCAGTACAATACTAGCATATAAACCTCTAGGGGTTTATCTACACTAGAGAGTCGTGTTATAAAAACAAAGATGTATTAATATTAAATCACAATAACCCAGTATGAAGTACTTACTACAATAAGTATGGTTGAATTATCAAATATGATTTAAGTTTACTTTTAAACAGTTTTGATTTACCGTATGTGTTTTGTAATTCTAGTGGCAAGACATTAATAAAAGTAAGTACAAGATGGGCCAACTTTCTTGCTCCATAGAAATTTTTAGTTTTGAAAGTATTAAAAAAGGATAATTTCATATGACTTTTCCTGCTCCAAAGGACGGACTTATTCTTTCCAGGGGAATACTTTGCCCAGTAGTGGGACATACATAGATATTACTTCACAGTAAAAACACTTACGTTCGACTGTATTATGAGCAACGGTTAGGTGAGGCGCGTGCAGCGACCTACACATGGCGCCCAAAGTTTCACCGAGCAGTGGACCCGCGCTGTTCAAGAGAGCCACCGCACCTGTTTTGATCTGGGTACACGCTGAAAATAAATATAAAAATTAGAAAACTATTTTCTACCGACTTCAAGGAGGAGGTACTCAATTCGACCTTGTTTTTTTATGTGTGTTACCTCATAACTTTTTTTCTGGTGAATCGATTTCGATGATTCTTTTTTTTATTTGAAAGCTGGTGTAGCATGTGGTCCCATGTAAATTCTATCAAGGTCCGACCAACAGTTTTTGAATTATTCTTAATAATTTATATTGAAGTCTATTGCACAATTTTTTTTTAATTTTAAATTATTAATTATTATATATGTCTGTATATGTATTATATATGTATTATAATTATAATATGTCGTAAAGTCACGCTGCAGCTCTATTGTGGTTGTAGCACGAATGTGTCGGCTCGATCGAAGAAGGACCACGCTCTAACAGAATACCAGCGTGAAATAGCTGCTTAATGCTTTTTTTTTTATATAGGATAAGGGTAACAAACGAGCACACAGTCCGCATGATGGTAAGTGGTTGCTACTGCCCATAGACATCTACACCTATTCTCCATTACAAATCAAAATGCAGATGAGTTGTCACCCGTGAGGACTAAGATGGAATGCCCCGTTTCCAGTAAAAAGGGTCTCCGGTTCTCTACACTCACCATACGAAACACAGCAGCATTAAGCTGCTATTTTACGCTGGTATTCTGTGAGAGCATGGTTTTTCCCCGGTCGAGCCGATCCATTCGTGCTACCAGAAGTGGACTTCTGAAGGGCTGTAATGATTATGATGAATAATGTAGTGCCGTAAGAGAATCTATCGTCCAATAAATGAACATCGCTTGGAGAGATTTAGAAGTATTATAATAAAAAGACTACCATCACTTTCATTTTAACTAGTGCTGATTATTTTTATGGTGGGTTATAAGCTGTGAATTTAGTAGATAATTTACTTCTGAAACTTTCTCTGTTAATAGTCGCAAATCTTAAGACCTTATATTAAAGATATCTTCATTTAATAAGGTGTTAAGAAACAACGATATTGATACGGGATTTTTCACACAGTCAACTGTACGTCGCTTGCTCTTGCGTTATTAACCCAGATAATTTATATATTTTAGCTACAAACGGAGCAACAAATAACATCGTTGACAAAGAGATTTTGTCGTTTTGACGTTCGACTTCGCACATACGAAAACTTTGCTAATATATCAAGCAACGCGGACGAAATCGCGGGTATCGTCTAGTAAGGATTGAGAATAAAAAAACTGCGGTTGTCATCCCGCTTGCTAATCGTGGCAGCTATGGCAAATATCCCCCCTATGATGCAATCTATGGGGAAGTACTATGTTCAGCAGTGGACTTTAAAACGATGTAATGCATGGATGTATAGAAGATAATCTACCAGGAGCACATGACCCACTGAGAGGTGAAATTTTCAAATCAACAGTAACATTACAACTATGGCAAATATCCCCTCTATGATGCAATCTATAGGGAAGTACTATGTTCAGCAGTGGACTTTAATAGGCTGTAGTGAATGGATGTATAGAAGATAATCTACCAGGAGCACATGACCCACTGAGAGGTGAAATTTTCAAATCAACAGTAACATTACAACTATGGCAAATATCCCCTCTATGATGCAATCTATGGGGAAGTACTATGTTCAGCAGTGGACTTTAATAGGCTGTAGTGAATGGATGTATAGAAGATAATCTACCAGGAGCACATGACCCACTGAGAGGTGAAATTTTCAAATCAACAGTAACATTACAACTATGGCAAATATCCCCTCTATGATGCAATCTATGGGGAAGTACTATGTTCAGCAGTGGACTTTAATAGGCTGTTACTGTAAATAACCATTAGAGGCTTGCGACATCGCTAGAATTGTTAATTCGTTACAATTCGTGACTGTGACTGTGTGCTTGCTTATCACGATTCTCATTTAGCTTGTAAAAGTCCACTTCTAGACGTGGACTTCTACTTTTATAGAAATAAAAATGACAATCGAGCACACTGTTCACTTGATGGTAAATGGGTGCTAAGGCTTAGTTAGTACAGCCTGAGATTGGGGTCGGCTTGTATGTGGTTAAAAATACTGACTTTTTTTTTAGATATAAGTACAGTCTTCGGCCGACATACCGTCAATATAACTCAATATATTGCAATTTGCCTTAAGTACTAATCAAATATGTACACTTATTTTGACTTATAAGTCCGTGTCGACTGGGAGAGAATGCCAAAAGTTATTAAGTCTTCCTTTGTAATGGTTTTTTATTAATGCTATACTGTTCATCAGATTGCGGTAAAACTTTGTCAAATTATTGCTTGCACTTGCGAGAAAGTGGCGCGCGTATGTATCATAATTTATTTGAAAGATATATATCATTCAACTTCAATGAATTTATTATTGTTCTCGACGGTCTAAAGACTTTAAGAAACAAAGTGATGAAAGAATATTGTCTTGTATAAAAAGTGAAATTACCAACGAAATCAAGCAAATTGTGTATTAATATAGTTTTACAACGTGTTTACAACTCTTAATATATTTGTATAGAACGTCGTTTTAATAATAGTTGATATAAACAACTTTAAGCATTTAATAAAATTCGACCAATCACAGCGCATCTTATCGTAAAACTTTCTGGAAGTTTAATTAACTGCACAATAGTTTGTACTGAAAATAATGAGAATATTTTGTGTTCTAAAAGAGTTGTAAATATGATATTTAGTTAGCATATGGTATATAGATTACGATAGTAAAGAAATAATTTGTATAAATAGACGCATTTGATAAATATAGAAAAATTAAAGAATTAATGTAGATGAGTTTGTATATTTGGGATGTGTGTTTAGCAGGGATGGTAGATATGATAAGGATATAGAACGACGAGTGAATGCAGGAAATAGAGTGAATGGGGCTCTACACTCTATTGTGAAAGTCAAAATGTGTCCAAAAAGGCACGTATGGCAATTCACAATGCTGTGTTAGTACCTACTTTAATGTATGGTAGTGAAAGTTGGGTGTGGCAGAAGAAGCATGAGAGTAGAATAAATGCTGTAGAAATGCGGTCATTAAGGAGTATGTTAGGGATGAAGCTGAATGACAGAGTGAGATATTGTTTAATAAGAGAAGAGTGTGGTTTGCAAGATGATGTTGTGACCAGGATTAAGAAAGGAATGCTTCGGTGGTTTGGACATGTAGAAAGAATGAATGAGGAAAGAGTGACAAAGCAAATTTATGTTGCAGAGGTGAACGGCATAGTCGGGAAGGGTCGCCCTAGGTGAAAGTTTATCGACCAAATTGGCGATATATTAAAAATGGGCCAAAAGAGTACCGAGCGTGTATGCGTAGGTATATGGATGTGGAGGAAGCGAGAGAGGTGTGTCAGGATCGTGCCAAATGGAAGTCCATAATCTCTGCCTACCCCTCTGGGTGACAGGCGTGAGTGTTTATGTATGTATGTATGTAATGTACCCATTTGTTATGAAAATTTGGGACATTTCATTTAATAACTTTTCTAAATGTAAATATATTGAATAACCTTTATCACATACTGATAAAGGACCAAAATGCCTATTTAATGATGTATAGCGTGTTAGTGTAAAAATTAGTGTTGTATAAAAAATATTGCAATTTGTTCAAATTACATAGTGAAAATGTTTAAAAATAAAGAGGCAAAACGGAAAATGGCAAGCGGCTCACTATACAGTATAGCCGAAGTCTACCTTATGGGGGCAAATCCCAGTAACGTTGTAGTAGGAAGAACTGCCAGTGACAAGCAGTAGTATCCGGTAGTAGCTGAAGTGACTAGTATCTGCTAGTGAACAATAATAGTGAATTAGAAAAAGTTTAGCTAGCCGAAAAAGGTCGTAACTGAAAATCGTAGATATACATAGCTGAAAAAAGTAGCAACTGAAAATTCGCAGTTGCATATAGTAAAAAACTGTGAGCTAGCCGAAAAAAGTGGTAACTGAAAATTCGCAGTTGCATATAGTAAAAAAGTGTTAGCTAGCCAAAAAAAGTGGTAACTGAAAGTTCGCAGTTGCATATAGTAAAAAACTGTTAGCTAGCCGAAAAAAGTGGTAACTGAAAATTCGCAGTTGCATATAGTAAAAAAGTGTTAGCTAGCCAAAAAAAGTGGTAACTGAAAGTTCGCAGTTGCATATAGTAAAAAACTGTTAGCTAGCCGAAAAAAGTGGTAACTGAAAATTCGCAGTTGCATATAGTAAAAAACTGTTAGCTAGCCGAAAAAGGTGGCAACTGAAAATTCGCAGTTGCATATAGTAAAAAAGTTTTAGCTAACCGAAAAAAGTGGTAACTGAAAATTCGCAGTTGCATATAGTAAAAAAGTGTTAGCTAGCCAAAAAAAGTGGCAACTGAAAATTCGCAGTTGCATATAGTAAAAAAGTGTTAGCTAGCCGAAAAAAGTGGCAACTGAAAATTCGCAGTTGCATATAGTAAAAAAGTGTTAGCTAGCCGAAAAAAGTGGTAACTGAAAATTCGCAGTTGCATATAGTAAAAAAGTGTTAGCTAGCCAAAAAAAGTGGTAACTGAAAATTCGCAGTTGCATATAGTAAAAAAGTGTTAGCTAGCCGAAAAAAGTGGTAACTGAAAATTCGCAGTTGCATATAGTAAAAAAGTGTTAGCTAGCCGAAAAAAGTGGCAACTGAAAATTCGCAGTTGCATATAGTAAAAAAGTGTTAGCTAGCCGAAAAAAGTGGTAACGGAAAATTCGCAGTTTCATATAGTGAAAAGTGTTAGCTAGACGGAAAAGGTAGTAACTGATATTCGCAGTTACACAAGTGATAAAATCAACTAGTCTTAGTTGATTAATGGCTGCTAGTCAGTAGTGTTAGAAAACCAGCTACTACCAATAGATATTTTGATACTACCAATAGATATTTGATATTACCAATAGATATTTTGTTACTACCAATAGATATTTTGATACTACCAATAGATATTTTGATACTACCAATTGATATTTTAATACCAATAGAAATTTTAATACTACCGCGCATTTTAATTGAATCTT